AACCTTCTTTTTTGAAGTTTTTCCTGTCCTGACATACAGGTTTATGAGATGAATGAATATCTGTAGCAATAACAAACACTTTTGGAACATTAGGAGAGAAAGGATAGATGTTCAATGTGGGCATTTGTTAGGAAGATACATAAGGAAGGAAGGAAGCTCGGAGCAAGTAGGACTCATGTTGTTTGAGCACAGTAAGGCAATAAATCCCCTGTCCAGCCCAGAATTTCCTGTGTTATTGAAACCAGCTCTGAGCAAGTTTGTTTTCTTTTTCTTTTCATCTTTGTGGGACGCAGAGTGGCGCTTTCAGCTACAAAGCTGACCTGCACATTCTTGCAAAGAATACTTTCCTCTTTGGCCTAGAATGCAGGAGTGCAGGCTCAATGGAACACCTTTTCTTTCTATGCCCATTGTCACAGGAGTGCAGTAGAAATCCCATTTCTAAAATAAAAAGCTAACAAGCAAAGTTCACAATTCAAAGTCTGAATAGCTTCACTTCAGGCTTTCCAAAAGCAGTTTCTGAGATGTGTTTGGGCAGGATTCTTACAAAAGGCATGCTTTGCAGCTAATTACGTTTCTCATTCATATAACATGGCATTCACATAACAAAACAATTATTGCTGGGATGGTTAAAGTGGGTGACCCATTTCTGTGATGTCAGTGCAAGGTTATTTCCACCTTGTTTTTCATGCCACTCCCACTTTTCTTCTTAGTTCCCTGTCACATACCAACAACCTTAGGTGATGACCTCTGTTAGGCTAGAAAACGCCTTCATTTGTTTATTGGCACACACAGAGGCAATCACAGAGCATCTTGTTAATGGGAACTTTACAGGACATAGATGGTCTTTGGTTATGAGAGCCAGTGTGGTGTAGTGGTTAAGAGCGGTAGTCTCGTAATCTGGGGAACCGGGTTTGAGTCTCCGCTCCTCCACATGCAGCTGCTGGGTGACCTTGGGCTAGTCACACTTCTCTGAAGTCTCTCAGCCCCACTCACCTCACAGAGTGTTTGTTGTGGGGGAGGAAGGGAAAGGAGAATGTGAGCCGCTTTGAGACTCCTTAAAGGGAGTGAAAGGCGGGATATCAAATCCAAACTCTTCTTCTTCTTCTTCTTATTGTTATTTTCCCTTGTGTCAATTGTGTATAAATTTACATAGATCTTGCTCTTCAATACTGAAGGGTTCCCAGAGCAGTTATCATCCAAAAGCAACCAATGAGCCAAAAGCCAATGGTTTCACTAACAGAGCAAGCAAACAGCAATAATTTTTAAAATTTTAACTGGCAAGATACCACAGCTACAACCTCACTCCCCAAATTAACCCTTCATACCACAGTATCTGCATCCTTCAGGATGGTATTTACCGGTAACTATTAATGTCACAAAAATCATAGTAAAACTGCAGTAGCAAGCAAAATATATAAACTGTGGCAGGCAGAAGAGAAAATCGCATCTATTGCCCACCACTGCCCCCCTTTTTTTGTCCAACTCTGCCTGAGCCAAAATTATACAGTATTATCATACAATGGGGGTGGGGAATCCCATGGACTGGGAGGTCTGGTAATTATTCAGGTTGCCATAGGTGTGGAGAGAGAATTTAACTCTTTATTAATGTGCTGGAGTCCTGAATAAAATTCCTCCCCGAAAGCTGCTAATTGGCGCCATGATTTCCTCACAATGCACAGAGCAACAGAGGAGGAATCTTATTCAGGGTTGTAGCACTCAAAGAAAGGGTTAATACTCACACACTTGCTGCATCTTGGGTAATAATGAGTCGTCCTCCCTGCACAGTTGATGCTATTAGCATTTGCTTAAAATTTGCCTGTTCAATGCTATGATGCATTTAATGTCATGTGTGCTCTGGTGCTCTTCTCTGCTGCATAGTTCATGAGCAGGCTTCACCACTGTGAGTATTTTATGTTACGAAGTGGTGTGCAGAGCATCTATGGAATTTTAAAGAGTTGTTTTAAATTTGCTGTGTAGTGTTTTGTTTTGTTTTCAAGGCACAAGCAGGATGCATAAGAGGAAATACGGTAGTTTGCTGCAGCGTAATGTATTTTAATGTATACAAATCGCTCAGTCCCATTCCTTTTTTGAGGCCAGAACCATCTTGTGTGACAAACCTGCTGTATGCTTGGGGCTATTCCAGTTGTAGCAATGTCCTACAAATATATGCTTCTCCATATACATTTTGGAAGCAGACCAGGAATGGGTTTTCCCACTACAAGTACATTTATTGGCAGACATTAACATAAGAGTGCTGTTAAATTGCAACTCATGTTGCACTTCAAAAGGAAGGACAGGGTCAATCCCACTTATAGTGGTGGACTATGCTAATATGGCACCCTGGACAAGGGCACACTTTGGCACCCACTAAATATATATGTGTTCTCCTATATAGAACCCTGCAAGGCAATTCTTGAAGTTTACATGATCCAATTGCCCCTTTTTAATACAGTCAAACCTCAGTTCTTGAATGGATCAGTTTTTGAACGTTTTGGCTTCCAAACGCCAAAAACCCATAAGTAACTGCTTCGGTTTTTGAACGATTTTCGAAACCCGAATGTTCTACGTGGCTTCTGTTTTGAGTTTCCCTATTGTACTGAGGCTTCCGCTTTCCGTTTTCGGTTGTCGAACGTTTTGGAAGTTGAACGGTCTTCCGGAATGGATTACGTTCGACAACCAAGGTTTGACTGTATAGGAAAAGCTGTAGTCCTATGTTCCTTTCAAGAATTTGAAGAAAGGACTCAACACTACTTCTTTTTATAAAGCTTTGTATTTAGGAAACAAAGAAAACAACTCAAAAAAAGCAAGATGTGCTCCAACCAGATTGGTTAAATTTTTGGACAAAGTACACAAAAGTCTGCATTCAACTAATCTTTACTCAGAGTAGACCCACTTAAATTAATGAAACAAGTTAGTTGTGGCCATTCATTTCAATGATTCTATTCTGAGCAAAAGTTCATGTTTCTGCTTATTTTTTTAATAGAAAAAACGTAATATGCTTTCTTCTGACCAGCTTTGGTTTTAATGCTATAAAGGAAAATCTTTGTAGTGCTTTACAAGGAAAGGTGAGAATGAGTAATCTGATGCATTATTTATAGACTTGAGTACATTCTACCCAAATACTCCAATGAAAAAGGAAATGCTGCCTTGGTTTACTGGCCCACAAAAATGTCTGGTTTCTGTAAAACTTCTCTAATGTTACAGGGGAAGGAACAGATCAAACTAAAGGGCAAAAATGAACAAGAAAATTAGAAGTAAGATTTAAGTAGTGAAATGCATGCGAGTTGTACATACCCCACCAACTCAAGTGATTTCAAAGGTGCATATACTCACTTGTAACTCTTCCACCTAATGCTTGGACTACCAATTCGAACACAAATCACCATGCTTGGTTTCTTACGACAAAATGAAATCTAACAGTATTCAGCAAGGCTTCCTAGAATGAGGAAATTTTCCTAGCCAGAATTCTATATACACTGGCAGTGTAGTAAGTTCAAGTAAAAGTGTTGGGACTTGCCTCCAAGCAAGATGTGTTTAGATCAGCGGTTCCCAAACTTTGTTGTTTATCTCTGGACCACTTGGAAATTGCTATGGATCTTGGTGGTTTTGCTGCCTGTTTAGCAATTGTAAAGCACTGTGCTCATGGTTCACCGTACTGGGGGGGGGGGGGAGTGACAAGTGTGACACCGCTGGGATCTATCCTGGCCCCAGTGTTGTTCAACATCTTTATAAATGACTTAGATGAAGGAACTGAGGGGCTGCTCATCAGGTTTGCAGATGACACCAAACTGGAATGGGTAGCTTGTACTGCAGAAGACAGAATCAGGATTCAAGGGAAGGGTAACACATTGGAGAACTGGGTCAAAACAAACAAAATGAATGCCTTAGTCATACCCCACCTGGAGTACTGTGTCCAGTTCCGGGCACCACAATTAAAGGAGGACATTGAGAAGCTGGGATGTGTGCAGAGGATGGCAAGCATGAGAAAGGGTCTGGAAACCAAGCCTTAAGAGGGATGGTTGAGAAAGTAACAATACTACATTCTCCATTTGCAAAACTAAACCAATAGGGAACATCTACTGAAAACAAGAGGAAAATATTAAACCATACAATGCTTGGGAGAATTTTTAGAGGTCATGAAAGCTGGTGTATAAATTTTCTCAAACGTGTCTTCCCACTCCCGCCCCCACACTTTTCCTATCATGTGCTCCATCATTTTATAAAAACCTGCTTTGAGCACCACCTCACATTTTAAAAGGGGTGTCTGAAATGTTTCTTCAGCTAAACTTGTCACAGAGCCTTTGGGAAAGAAAGATACAAACATCTAAATAAAAAGGAAAGTCCTGTTACACTAGATTAACAGGACCTCATTTTAGAATATTCCCCAAACGTTCTGCACTCTTAAGTGTAAGCAGGCAATTCTCTCAGCAAGAAAAATAAAGAATGCCACAAGGGAATATTAAATGTCACCTCTCCTTCTGCCTCTAGCAAATGTTTACCAGCACATCATACATTTTTCATGCTAAGTAACCTAAAACTTTTATAAGAATTCCTAACAGTTATTCTATCCAACATGAAAACCAATACAAGAGAGACATCTAATTAGTAAGCTATTTGATAGCTTTCTCTGAAGAACTCATTCATGCCGCTTTTAATGAATACAGGTCATACTGTCTTAAAGGCATTATTATGCAGGCAAGAATGTATTTTTATAAACACACCCACTAAGAGTACACCTCTGTGTATGTCTACTCAGAAGGAAGCTTCACTGACTTCAATGGAACTTATTCCCAGGCCAGTGTGTTCTGGACTGCAGCCTCTATTGGTGCATTCCCTCCTTTGGTTTCTCTGTATAGGATTTCAGCTCGACTTTTATACTTGAACTCAGGTGCTGATTAATGTCAGATGAGCATGTGCTGTTGTTTTTCAATACACTGTAGAAACAAATCAGGATTAAAGCTTAGGCAACATGCAGCATAAATTACCCAAGGTCTTCAAACTTGTTTTTGACCATTTTATTAAAAAAATAAATTTCCTATATCAACATGTGTATCAGGTTGCTGCATGACTGATCCATTACCATAATATTAAGAGAAACATTGCATTCTTCACATCTCGAAAAGGAATACAAGCTCCAGGACATTCTGAAAAACAGAACCATGTAATCAGAACTAAAGTATACCACAACCTGTTTTGTTTTTGTTTTTTTAAAAAAATCATTTCAACAAAAAACCTTGCCCAGGCTGGTATGCATTTTGCTAAGTCTACTCTTCTAATATAACTTGTTCAAGAAGTACTATTATTATTATTTTGCCACACCAACAAAAGTTTACATTTGTTGCCAAACCTTTTTAGGTTTTACTCTAGCTAGCTTTTTTAAAAAATGACTAGTAATTCTCAATTTTGAGGATCATTAGTGCCACTTGTGCGCTTTTATATCTAATCCCAAGAGCTGTTTCTTCAGAGTCACAAGCTATCACTATGGATTTCTTGAGTGTAACACTGACAATGCCATGAGGGCTCTACAGCTGGTCTGATGACGGCAAATATTGGGAAAGTATGGAAAACATAAGGCTGCAATCCTAAATCTGGGCTCCTTAAATTGAAGCCAATTAGACAGAAGCAATTTTGTGTGCTGCACTACAGCGCCAAACAGTACTGCCTTGGTCTTCCTCTTTGGACAAAGTAATATCAGAACTAGCTGCGTGTAAAAACAAAAGCAAAAAGGTGTACTGAGCGGGTGACACTGCTGTAAAAATCAAGAACTGATGCAAAAGTAAAAAATCCTGTGTATACAGGTTAAAAGGACATATGGAGTCATGATGGTCTAAAACTCAGCATATTCCAACAGTATATTTCCTCCCATTCAACGTCTCTTTTGGACAAAAGCATTGTTACACCAAAACGTATCTGCAAAGGAGTTTCTGTTCCCCAGTTTTCAATATCAATACCTTGTGAATATTTAAGGAGTTATGGAAGAGACTTGATTTCTTTTGGACTTTTTAAAAAAGCTGGCATCATAAGGCTGTACTTCTTGAAACGTAATTTAAAAATCAAATTACATCATGGAAATATGCCAATAAGTTGTCTCAGTATTGGAAGATAACTCTACTTAAAATTGAGGGGGGAAGGAAGCAAGCAAGCAATGACATCTAGCAATATTTTGGTTTTCTGGACAATACAAAAAAATAGTACTCGTACATTTAAGAAATGTTCCATCAGATAGATAAAGCACATATGAATGCACATTCAGAATTCTGACACAGAAAATGTAATGTGGACAATTTGCTGCTATTTCCAAGCACACTTACAAAAAATACAATTTCATAATGAAAGAATTGTCAAAATACAGTTGAGCAACGATCGGGAGCCACACCCCCAAAAAGGATTCAACAGTATTACTTAAGCTCTGTTTCAGACTGTATTAAATACTGCTTGAGTAAACTTGTGGTCATAAAGCAGCATTATTCCAAGCACTTGTGAAGTTCCTTCTTTCATTATCTGAAGTGTCCTTTACTAAAGATTACACTGCCTGGCACTCGGATTCAAAGTGCAAACTCCTCACCTTGGAAACACAATGCATTTAGACACATTCTTATATTGTTGTACATAGCTGAAGCAGACACATCTTGTATATGGCAACTGTAAATCAAAGTATGGGTTTGATCACCTTGCTACATAGGTATTCCCCGTGCATTACAGAAGTCTTACTGGGAAATGTTCAATGACAACTTTACTTAAACACAGAAAGAGTTAACCAATTCATCCTATAAATATCTTCTTTATTTGCTTTGTGTCTAGAAGTTTCTATTAAGTTCTATTAACAGAAATACATAACAAAAGGTCTTCTATGTAGTGAAAAACTTAATTACAAATATTGAAAAAGGTTGGACTAATTAACATATGTACAGATTTGTCTAGTTAATATATTGAGGGGAATCTGTTTAATTAATGACATACATTTATAAGCATCAACAGTAAGTTTCAGTTGATAGTACTCCAAGTCCTTAGTTTGGGCAATGAGGATATGGTAAATTTCAAGATTGTGTTGTTTTTTTAAAATGTAGCCATAACATGCAACAGAAAATATTCAGTCTGAACAGCTGCTGATAAATTGTTCTATTCCTTCCTGAAAAGATTTCTCTGCCAAATTAGTGTCCTTCTGTCCCTTCTTTTCTTTGTTCTGCTGTTCCTGTAGATTCAGGATTATGTTTCGTATTTCTTCTCGTTTTGTTTTCATTCTTGGGCGAGGAAACCAGTCTGTTAAATTCATTGGTAGTTCAAAACTTAGAATAGGAGTCTAGTAGGGACAAAAGAAGTAGGTTTATAGCAAAATGGCCTATAATGTATGACTTTTATATGACAGATTCAAAAATTAAGAATATCGGAAAATGCCAGATTTGTTACATTTTTACCCTTCCTCCAGTTTCCTCTTAAAAGAGCATACACATAGTACAACATACTCCTAAAGAAAACAACCATACAGAAATTCTCAACAAAACAATAAAAACTATATTTATTTCCGCTTGCTGAAATGTACAAGGCCTTCATGAGCAGAGTGCATAAACTAGCCTAGCTGAACTAGTTTTGACTACATTGAAACATTGATTACTATATTTGGTTCTATTCAGCTACCTTCTTAAGGTCCCAGCTGCACAATACATTTAAAGCAGCGTCATAACACTTTAAACTGTCAAAGCTTCCCCCACGGAGCTCTGGGAACTGTAGCCTGTCACAGCTGAGAATTGTTAGGAGGACCCCAATACGCCTCATAGATCTACAATTGTGGCTTAACAGTCAATCTGTCTTCTCAGGAACTGTAGCTCTATGAGCGGAATTATGGGTCTCTTAACAACTCTCAGCACCCATAACAAAATGCAGTTCCCAGAATTCTTTGGAAGAAGCAGTGACTGTTGCATGATGCTGCTTTAAGTGAATAGTACAGATGGGGCCAGGATAAAGCTGTGACAATGTTCTGTAGACCCGGGGAATTAGGCTAGAATGCTGGCTTAATAAGAGAAGCAGGAAGGTTGTCTTGCTCACACCTTACAGATTTATCTATCGTTAGAAGCAGTTTATGGTCTTCTACCAGAATGCCCTAGATAACTTTTGCACAGGCTCACACAATACGGCAAAAGGGAGTGAAATGCTTTTTCTTTTCTTTTCTTTTTTGTCACAAATGGAGCACAGGTTTGCTTATCTGCCATTGTTATAGTACTCGTGATGGATCATCATCTGCAAAGAATTCTACAGCTCCAACACTCAGCACAATACAACATGCATTGGAAAGGGTTCCTACTGACACCTCACTACACAATTTAAATGTGTACTTAATCCATTTGCATCTATAAAATTGTTCAAGGCACACTGGGGAACTAGAGTCCCCACAGCATTTTAAAGCTACTTTACATTAAATGTGTGCATGTTTATATAACCTATAGAACAAAACAAAACAAAGTATCAACAGAAGCGTTAATCCTAGGATTCAGCCATCATCATTATTCTATGTTGTGGAGCAAGCTACACTCTTGCTCATTCTTCTTAATTTAACCTATAATAGGTGCTGCCGCCAACTAGTCATCCTGACACAGTAGCCCACTGAGAATGTGGCAAAGATAGGCAGGAGTTGCCTTATCAAATCCAAAGCAAACATAACATTGGGAAGTAACTGGTCTTTTACAAATGCCGTACTGCAGCTTGTTAACTACCTCTAATCATTGTAAAATAAAAGCCATGGAGGTAGAAAAATGTGGAGACAGGGCCAAGAGGTGCATACAAGCACTGCTTCCAATGTCCCTGGGTACATGAGCTTCCGTTCAGATGTCTGAAGAAAGTGATTAGTTCTGCATAAAATGCCATATTCCACAAAGAAAACAAGATAGCGTGACACTGAATTCCACTATTTTTGGCTATTATGAACATTCCGCCTGCCCGAGCTTGCCAGATTGAATGATCCCTCCACCCCTCCCCCACTGTGGGGGTAGCAGGGAGCACATGGGGGAAGAGAGTACAGTCATCCCTAGGATCCTAAACGCCTTGCGACTTGAACGTTTTGTCTCCCGAACACCGCAAAAGTGAGTGTTCCGGTTTGCGAATGTTTTTTTGGAAGCTGAATGTCCAACGCAGCTTCCTATTGACTGCAGGAAGCTCCTGCAGTCAATTGGAAGCCACGCCTTGGTTTTCGAACCTTTTTGGAAGTGAAACGGACTTCTGGAACGGATTCTGTTCAAGAACCACAGTATGACTGTATAGAAAGCCCAGCTGCATGGAGTTCATTAGGTGACTCCCATCCACAGGCTCCAGAAATGTGCATGGTGGCTAAATTAAACCCAATAATTTCAATGTCCCTAAAATTTTAAACTAAAAATACCAGTAATCTCACCTCAAAAAAGCTCTCCACATACTGTAGCACATAAACTCCACAATCACTAAAGTTGTTCTGCTGTGGCACTTTAGGGTTTGAGCCTTTCATAACATCTTTGGAGAAACTTCTTTTAGTGCCTTTCCTGACTTCCCACTCCACCTCCAAGTATCTGCAATATAAAATCAAGAGGATGAGAAAAATGCTTTTATGGGATGTTCCAGCATTGACTGAAAAGGTTTTGCTTGAGAGGTCAACTACTTACTCCCGTAGTGTTCTAACGACGTTTGATCGGGAAGGCCCTCGCAATGAATCCATGAGCAGAATGCAAGGCCTACAAGAAAGCAAATTGTTTTGGTCTCATTAGAATTTTGCATATGCCACAGTGTTAAAACAAGGAAATGATATTATTTGATGAGGGTTCATATAGCTCTCACAGGTATGTGGGGGGGGAAAGGAGATTTCTTTCATGATCCGTACACAGTAGAAGTCTCTTTTTTCTTCTTCACATCTATGCAACCAGGAAGAGGACACAGGTTTTGTTTCACTCCACCTAAAAACTATGTAAGGAAATCAGCCCTGAGTGCTCACTGGAAGGACAGATTGTGAAGCTGAGGCTCCAATAGTTTGGCGACAGAGGGCGAGATGGTTGGACAGTGTTCTCGAAGCTACCAGCATGAGTTTGACCAAACTGCGGGAGGCAGTGGAAGACAGGAGTGCCTGGCGTGCTCTGGTCCATGGGTTCAGGAAGAGTCGGACACGACTAAACGACTAAGCAACAACAACAAAAGCTATGCTGCATTTTGCTTTCATTTCATTGTGAATGCTACATGAATGTACAGTAAATTACAATGAGATTTAACAAAGGACTAAACACAAATAATTTGAGCAGCTATGTACATGTATTATTTCATGACAATATAAGACTAGATCAGGAACAGGGAGGGAGCTTGCTGCCCTCAGGATGTTGCTGAATGAAAACTCCATTCTTCTCTGACTACTGGTCATATTGGCCATCCCACTGAGTGATGGAGTCCAAAAACCTCTGAAGGACCACAGGTTCCTTAATCCCTTGCCTAGACAAGACCCAGAACTACACTCAAAAGATCAGAACTTTACTTCATTTTTCCTCTAACCTGTATATCTCAAAGCAAGTGGATTTAGATTTGCATAAATATGCCTACCTTTTTAACCACCTACTATTATTGCAAAAAGAAAAGTTTATGTCCAATTCTTTATATTCTTATAAGGCAGATGGGAGTTGAGGTTGTGAAAGAGTGCTGAAGGTCACATAATTACTTCATGATGGAGAGGAAATAACAAGTCAGTCACAGCTCAACTTTGGAGCCACAATGATAAATAATCTACCTAATTCTTAAAGCAGGAAGGTAATTAACAACTATACAACAAATGTAGCCCAGGTGTGTGTATAAGGATAGCTATCCAGCACCAAATCCAAGGGTCAGATCCTGCATTAGTATAGCAATTATATTCCCCAAGCACTCCACTGGTAGGACTTTTCAAGCATAGAATAGAATTATGTACAGTTATATTTACCCATATCAGTTACTCTATGTTTGGCCCATTAAACTTTTAAGAGGAACAACATATTAAGAACAGCTTACACATAAGGTGCAAAACAGAAAAAAATCAAGTGAATAATAATAATAATAATAATAATAATAATAATAATAATATATTTCTATTGAAAAAGCAAATTTAAGGAACTGGTTAGCAACATAAGGAGCCATAGCCTAATATGTGTGGATATTAAAGTAGTTGTGCCCTTTTTGCTAAGCAAAGCTGATATCTGAAGTAGTATTACATCGACCGTTAAGCCTTTGGATTCGAGCTGGATAGATACTTGAGCCACCATCTGCTTGAGACAATCCATGCCAGGCTGTGGCACAGAGTCACAGTAGCTCTGAATGCGATATTCTAAAAGCTTACAACATTAACAGGTTTCCCTCTGGTGGAGCAGGCAGACTGTTAAGAATACTTCACTGGTGATGCAGATACTTACAGCAAACATAAGCCATAATAATGTAACAATGTATATTAATTCTTTTGTAAACCCAGAATTGGCAAATGAAGAAAAAGAGGTTGAGTAATCTAAATTCTGAAAGAATAAAAAAGCAGAGATTTTATACAAGCTTATTTACAATGTTCAAATCCTGCCTTACCAGAGCAGGAATTAATTTTTTTTTAATTTGAGCTTTTAATTTGGAAATGACAGAACAGGGGAATGAAAAGAACACTGGATTCAGAAGACACATCTGTGATTATTAATGGAAAGCCATAAATGTGTCACTTCAAAACTTACTGTTTACATATAGTTGGCTTCAGATGCCATTGTCCTAATTCTGAATTACAATGATCATCCGCAAGACCATCATCATCACTGCTGTTGTCCTAAAATAGAAAATATGTATTTGTAAGATTCTATCTTAAGAAACTCAGGAGAAGCTAGATTTACATATGCAGCAAGGTGGCATGATCCATGTGGTTATAGGACTCAGGCAAAATGCCAGCTCCCTCCCCTACTCATGCCTTTTATGTTACAGGCATTGGGGGCTGGTGCACATTGGGATTGGTCGGGCAAAGGCAGTAGATGAAGCCAGGACCAATGACAGAGAGAGACAGAGCCAATGAACTTTTCTTCTTTAAGTAACCGAGTTTGGCGGAAGTGGAGAAAAAGAATTTAAACTTTTTCTGCAACAAAGACCGCCACCTGTATTTGAACTACTCTTTGTAATAAAATCAGGAAGCAATTCTTCTGTTCCAGGAGAAACATTATCTAGAAATTAGAACTTAGAAACCAAATGAACCTATCAGTACAGAAAACCCCCACATCATATAATGATGGGAGAAAAATAATCACACACAAAATATAGTTTCCATTTCTGCAGTAATCTCTGCAGCCTGCAATGCAATGTAATGAGCAATATACATTTCTGCCTTTATGCAGGTAAGTGTGATACTTCAAAGTTTTGAAGTTCCACCTTTATGCTATGTGAATATTTTCTTGGAGGACAGCAAATGACCCTTCACCCTTCTGAAAAACTGACCTGTTTACCAAGGCAGGTGCAATCCAAGTACAACTGCAAATATATGAATTATATATGACTATATAATTCAAGCTGCACACAACACAGAAACTACATTCAGTAGATTGCCTCCAGCTCTTGAATAAAGGCAGGAGAACTAGCCAAAAGAAAACCTACAGGAAAGGCTAGAAATAACTCAGACAAAGATTACAAAATATTTAAGAATATAAAAACTAGATAAAGGGTTATGTTTAGAAATTTCTAGGTGGAGGACTATAAATCCAAGCCATCTTCCTATTCAGAATCTAAGTATCACAGGATGAGAGTATTTCAAGTGTACCACTAGGACTATGAGGATAGAACTTCTTTCTTAGCTATTTTTATTTCCTGAACAGCTGTGAAAATACTTTTCAAAAAGATTCTGAAGTCCCTCTAGGTAGAAATTACTGACCTGCATCCAGTCTCACTATGCCTCACATATACAGCTGATGAAAGGAAAAACAACTCATTGGATGAAGGAACAGGACAGCCTGTAAGTATTAGTCTGTATAGTCTTTGAAATTGCAAACCACACTAGTAACTCTTCAAATAAAGACTGCTATTTAATATATAACTGGACTGATATCCTTGAATAATAGAAGGGAAAAAAGGGAAAAGCAACATTCCCTTGGTGCACGTAATGTGGAACAAGTTCCACATTAAAGTGAAACTTTAACACAGTCCGAAATTCTGTTTAACAAAGAAGCACCTTCTGCTCAATTTTTGATGATTACAATGATGGATAAAGCTCGCCTTCTAGTGGCTGGAGTTGGGAACATAACCAAGAAAGTGCTCCAGAGAAGTACTGGAGAAATGCTAGGCTGTATTTTATTGAAATAGAAATACAGTGGTACCTCGGGTTAACTACTTAATTCATTCCGGAGGTCCGTTCTTAACCTGAAACTGTTCTTAACCTGAAGCACCACTTTAGTTGATGGGGCCTCCTGCTGCTGCCGCGCCGACAGAGCACAATTTCTGTACTCATCCTGAAGCAAAGTTCTTAACCTGAAGCACTATTTCTGAGTTAGCGGAGTCTGTAACCTGAAGCATATGTAACCTGAGGTACCACTGTAGTGCTAACAGCACTAAGTAAGAAGCCTTAATCTTTATATATATCTTTAATATATAGAATACATGCATGTACACACACACGTATCACTAGTTAAAATTAATCTTCCATTTGTCTTTGCAAAAGCACAGCCACTTGAAAACACAGTTAAGTGTCACATTGCCATCGTACGTTAGTTTACTAGCCTCAAATAAATGACTGATAGGTTGTTGAGGGAGTCTTGCAATATACACTACACTAAGAACACCTCAACTACAAAAATGCTGAACACCTGCTTAAAAAAAAAGTACTGAAAAGGTGATTAACAGGTTATTTGCTCCATTTTAATACCTGTTCTACTGAATTCTTTTAAACACCTTCACCCCTAGAAATAAAGAATACTAGTTATATCCAAGTAATGCTGCTTAGACTTTTTACCTGGTTATCTTGATCTTCTGAAAAATCTATTAGTTCATCTTCATTTAGTTTAGTGCTGTCAGTTGAATCTTCACTGTAGTTTAGTCTAATTTTCTGTAAACCATCTGCATTAACCACAAAGATTAGTAAAAAAATGAAAACAGAATTGCCACAGACATATACATTATATACATTAGCTTCTGGACAGGAACAGTAAACCACAAAGTGGAATAAATGTTTTTTTTTTTGTCAGCATCATACATGAGAACAAATGTCTAACTGAAATCTATACTTCCAACAGTGCAATCCTATCCCTGCTTAATAAGTCCCATTGAGTTCAACGGGATTTACAGGCAAGTGGGTTCAAGACTTTGGGCTCAGCTATCAAGCTAAAAACACTCAGCTAAATTACATCTCACAGCAGTGCTGAGACATAGCTTACTGTACTGACTGGGAAGCAATATAGCACACACAGCAACACAGCAGCAGGATGTCAGCTTGTGAAACAATTTTTTCTGTTGTGTGTTCAACATAACATTAAGCCAAACCACATTCCCAGAGAGGAGATTGCAGCCACTTTGCTCCTTCCCTGGTCCTGCTATTGTGACCTAAATTGTGGTTTGCCTTAGTGCATTGTCAGAATCCGGGCTTGTAATTTGTCTTGCTCCAGACAGAGCAGGAATTGCAGCCAAAGTCTGTTCTTGGAGCTCAGGTCGAAATGACACCCTAAGCCAAAAAGTGGCTTAGCTAGCAACAGGACTAGAGGAGGTAGGTAGGTAAGCAGTCACAATCTTCCCACTCACATTGAGTCCACCCATTTGCAGTGAGCCAGTTTGGCTATTATGAATTAGGCAGATGCACACTTTCTATACAAGAACTGCTTAAGCGGACAAATCAAATGGTTTGCTTGATCAGAACTAAGTAGACGGTTTTACTCTTCTCCAGTTGTGAAATGATATATTTTTGTTTCGTGTGGTTTGCAATATGCACAAGTAGGAAAAAACACACAGCAAACCTTGAGCTCGGACATTCTGTTCTCTCCCTTCCTCCCTTATGGCCAGTAGGATTTCAGAAGTTTTAGCTTTTACTTTTGGTTTATCCAAATCAGCCCAAGGCTCACTGCAGCTTGTGAATGTTTCACTAAAACAGGGTTTATTGAAATGTGTGAACAGGACCACATATTTCACTATGTAAAATATGTTGTAAAAATGGTGTCCCGGGGGTTGTATGTGGCCAAATCAGCAAAATGTCAGGGAAAATCTGGACGTACGGCAACGTAATAGAAAAAGCTGTGGAAACAGCTCAAAAAGCTTAGGTTTACCCAACAATGTTGGAGTCATCCTAAAAAAAAAACCCTTGAAATATGGCAACCCTAAACAAGCTGATCACTTGGCTCTAGTTATACAGGGTGAGCCCGTTAAAAGAGGCCCCGTGGATAGAATGACATCTTCCTCATACATTTACCTCAGCAACAAATTACTTCAACAAAGTACCGAATGCTGCATATTTTTAGAAACCAGTAAAGCTTAGTATCTTAAGGAGGCGTCACTGATTGCATTTCTGATTTTGAAAATGGTGGTCTTTGAATTCCACATCTGAATCTCCAGAAGGAGCAAAACAGTGATGATCTGAAGAAAATCTAAACTTGAAATCTATGACTAAATTTATATTAGCTTTTCTGCGGCTCTAACTAAAGAAAATATAAATGTTAGTTTTTAGTTTTCCGAGCCAAGATTCACCAACCACTGCACATTTACCGTGGATCAGCTGAAATTCTTACATTGGTGTTTTTGCAACACTGAAATGTTACCATTTGATGCACAGCTGGAGGAAAATATGTAGAACAAATCTTATTAGTGGCTGGCTGATTCTAAAGAAACGGGATTCGTAATGTGAATCTAGAAAGTGGTCTTATAGTGAGCATATACTTGGCTTATCTAGCACAGTATTGTTTACTGTCGCTGGCAGCTATTTGCCAATGCTCAGCAGAGGGCATTCCCACCAGCAATCCCTGACATGCTTTTTTACAAGATATGTTCCATATTGAACTCCCACTGAGCTTTAGCAGTGCTACAGTCTCAACACTCCCCTCCTCCACCCCATCATTCACTGGGATTTTTTTTAGCAGTTTAATTATTTAAAGGAAAAAAATATAAGTTATATTAGCAGTAATAAGGTATCAAATTCCAAATATCAAACATATATAGCCAAAAGTACATACCCGTAGCCTGGATGTGAATTTTATCTTCGTTCTGCATGCCATTTGCCTCTGAAATCCTATGGTCATGTTTATGAAACACAGATTCCACAGTTCTCAGTCCTTCTGGGGTGCTGTTTAACTGATTTAGTTTTTTTAAGCCACTTTTCACAGAAGGGGATCTTTTGCAATACTGTGATTCAGTCTCCCCGGCTTCTATGCTTGTGTCAGTTAATGCTGCAATATGTTTCTTGTTCAGCACCTTCTTTGTAAAAGATGCCGAAGAGGAGTGATGTAACGTATTCAATTCATTAGGTACAGGAGAAGAAGTGCTTCTTTCTTGATCCAAAGAGGAAGATTTAACCTGCATAGATACGTTTTCGTGGTAGTACGGATTGGTCTCATATATTGCATTTTCTAAACCAGGGAAACAGATGACAGCCAAAAACCAATGGGCCCTGTAAAAAAACAAAAAACTAAGAATTGACTCATCACACACACACACACACACACACACACACACACACACATATATATATTATTACTCATTTAGTATAGATCAAATAACTCCAAAATTATTTGTTCATTATTTACATTCTTATCATAGTCATCTGTTTCACACATTCATATATGTAAATAGTGTGGTCACATTTAGAGAACAAGAAACAATAATTGTATGGATAAACTGTAAAGGGAAACTTAAAAATTGCCTCCTCCTGGAAATTTCTGGTAAATTGCACTGTTTTAAACCAGAATCCCTGGTCAAGCACAATGCGAAGCCAGGACTCAGTAAAAGGGAAACCAAATGTTGCTGAAGTACAGTGCAATCACAGCTTATGCGTTCAATTTCAAAGGTTCTGTGTATAAGCAAAAAACACATATACTCAAACCCTCAGAACTGAACCCCCAACTGAACTACCTAGGGCTTTTGGAACTGGTACATTGGCTCTTATGAGATCTTGCAGGGCCATCCAAGTTTCCACGAAATCTCACAGGTGCATCCCTGATCCAAGAAGAGGAGACAGCTATGCTTGGGAGGCAAGGCAGAGAGCTTAAAAAGCTCTTTTTGCACCAGGAAAACCCAGCACAAAAAAAACCTTGCCAGACTTCAACCAGCTAGCCTTCAACTGCATATATTTGAAATTGCACAAGTCAGATGTGCAAAGATGTGATTGCATTGTACTCATCCTGTGTGGTCAGGAGGGGAATGGGGGAATTTGTGCACATGTGTGCCTCATGTTTTGCTTGGGCTCATTCAAGCTCATCCTCATAGCACTACATCATGGTTTAGCATTACGTGCAAACACAGCCAATGACCTGTGCAATCCTAGCATGTGTTTCATCATGAAAACAGTCTGTACCAAAAACACAGCTGGTTTTGCCCATACTAGCTGCACTGCTCAGGAGCAAATGTGTCCTTCAAACAAATAGAGACGCCGCATTGCAATGCAACTACCTATTCCAATTTTCCCAGATAAGTGATTTATGCAAGGATCTCTCTGTAGACCTAGTTTCCCTATTGGGGGGAACTTGAACCAAAAGAGAATCTTCAAGGACATCAGAGAGGTGGAAGAATACTCAGTTTGTGGTTCTGACAGTTGAAGAGAAGTGGGGAAAGAATATTTGGGGGAAAGGTGTGCATATTGAGAGAATAATAACTCAGGCCCCAGAGAAGATGGGGTTACATACAGATGATATCCAGGGTTTTCTGGACGGTATGATAGTTGAGAACATGGCTCAGATAACAGACACACAGTCCCACAACCAGTCATAGCAGAACAAATTCTACTTACGCTTCATTAAGAGGAACAAAAATAAAATCTTTTTCAAAGATATCAACATGTCGTGTCCATGTTTTCACTCGTCCATGCCGTTTCTGCTGAATTCTGCGAACACATCAATATAAAACAATATAAAACACAAGGATTGGTATTTAGGTGATATTTATGCATTCTCCTCTCCAACAATGAGGATTTGACTATTATCACAATCTTGTGGCACCAGCTATGTGAATATGTTTAGGACTTCTCCTGCATCTTCAGTTGTTTGGGCGGAAATAATATTTTTAAAAAGTCAAAATGAATTGCCAAGTGGTAAATCATACAGCTTTTACTTATAAAAAGTACCATTCTGTTCTTCTACTCAATTTATGATAAATGAATTTGTCGCATATTAATCTGGGTCAGATGTACATGACCCTCTGGCTTGTGTGCTCCCTTCCTCTCCTTCTCTGGTGCAGCCAGAGGCATATGGGAAATTTTTATTTTCAATCTCCTTATAACCATATTGGAAGGGGAGGGCCTTGAGTCTGAAGTTCATCTTTAAAAATGCCATTGTCCCCACAGGGGATGGATGAGACATGCTGAAACTGGAATTTTATAATACATATTTTAACCAAACTTACGTAAGTTTTGAGGTTTCTTGGAGATTTCTTCTCTCCCTTTGATTAAGGCGTTTGTAAAAGAAGGAACTGAATACATGAATTCTATCAGCATCTTCTTTTTTCAATTGTTCAAGCACCAGATATCTTTATTTTGAAAAAGAGAAACAAGAACAAAATAAAACAATGCTTTCATTCTTGCCTCTAAAGACCTGTTATTCTTGAAAAGACTGCCACATGCTGGCCATTCTACGCAGACAAAAGTAGACAAATGTAAGAACTTTATAGTTTCGGCAGATATACTTTATTTAGAATTTAAGGTTTGTCCATCAACTTGCCTAAGTTAGACAGACACCACAAAAGGTTTCAATACACTCAAACAACTTACTTCAAATAGAAATCAATGATTACGTCGTTTAAAAATTCTCCTTCATTTAAGCAATGAAGATCTTCATTGGTCACAGAAATACCACCCTTTGCAGGAGGTGGGGGATAAACAATCAACCTGCAAATAATAATAAAAAGTTAAATAAATACTGAACTGAATTATTTAGGAAATAATTACAACACTCAGAAAGACCTCTTACTTTTCTATAGGACCTATAAAGACTGTATGTGGTTCAACACTTTCATCATCATCAAAAAACTGGAATTGTGTTGCATTTCGCAGCTGCATTTTGGATTCAGAGACCTTTGGGGAAAAAAGAATACTTATTTACAATGCAATACCAAAGTCATAAAATATTAAAATCCTTTCCAATTCCCAAATAGCACAGCATGTCCCTCTTTTTATAAAACTACCTGTTGAAACCAAATAGAATATGAATATGAACACAGTGGGCACATAGAGACGTAATGTTCCCAGCATCTTAAAACCATGGTTTATGGTACAATGAGCACCAGGCCTGCACCCTCCTCTGTTACCCCTTCCCCTTTCCTGCTCTATGTCAGCTCCAGTGCAGATTTCCTGGACTGTTTCAACCAGATTCCCCATTATGTATGAAACAGGTAATTCAATTTTAATATTGATTTATTAACCAGGATATTAAGTTAAGATCAGAACCTGACTAAATATTCTGTTTAGTAAACAGACATAAAATAGCTGAAATATCACATTGACAAAATATATTACATGGAAAGCATATATTTTGACTTGATAACATTTCATTTTTTCAGTTTTCCTATCCAAAAATATATACTTTGGCCCTCTCTTTGATAAAATTTATCTAGAACATTGCAAAGGGCATTTCTAAACAAATGACTTCACAACTTATTTAACATTTTAATTCAATTTTGAAGAAAAGGAGTAGTACATGTTTTGCTTTGCCTTCTTTATGAGCCGTGCTTCCTCTAGAAGTGTCTTCAAAGGATTTTGTAAAGGCCACAAGCCTACTATTTGCTTCTTCAAATGTAATCTTCACAAAAAAATCAGAAATGTTGTTCCTAACACCAATATCAATGATTATTTTTTCAAATATTGCATTTGCATGTGGATCAAGGCCCGTCTCAAAAATTAAAATGATGTATTGTTCTTCAGGATCTATGGAGGGGGGGGAGAGTTAGGAGACAATGAAAGCATGCTTTTAAAACCATAATGCTTACATTTTCAAAAGTTAAAGTTGATAATAATAATTTTATTATTTATACCCCGCCCATCTGGCTGGGTTTCCCCAGCCACTCTGGACAGCTTACAGCACATTAAAAATGTCTGAATAACAATCACAGCTAAGAGGTCCCTGGCTGAACCAATTAAAGAAATTATTCATAAGAAACCGCCATATAAATGGAACAAAACTAAAATTCAATGCCTCATTCTAAAGAAAAGGTTCTGCTCATGAAAAAGCTAGAGTAGGGCACATTATGTCAACTGCTACTCGTGCAAGTTGCTGAAGAGACTGATGGAAAGGGAAAGAAACGGACACCAAACTCAGTTCAGGCACCCCCTTTTTTACTCCACAGCTCAAGTGCTTAACTACTTTCCTATTCTCTGGAATGGTAGGAAAGATCACCCAAGTGGGGGGTGGGGGAGTAGTATTAAGATACTGATCCCAAAAAAGGGCAGCCTGAGCATAACAGCACACACAGAGTTTTGTGCTGCACACAATTATCTCTGAGTAGAGTAGAGAGAACTGTGGTTCCTAACCTATTCTGGGCCACAGATCACTTTAAGAATCTGATGAAAGATATTAACCCCCTGCCCAGATAAAAAGGACATAACACATACCAGGGCTGCCAACTCCTGGGGGCCAAACCCTTTTGCCCCCCTCCACCAATATTCTTTGGGAGGGGTCACTCCCAGAAATGCAGCATAATTGCAATAAAACATTCCAAACCAGTGTGTTACTTAAAACTTCAGGAAGTTGGGAAATGCAAAATATGCTATGCTGTCCTCAACATGATCTAGACAAAATTTTCTAAATATGCCAGACAAAAATATACCGTCTCCATTTATTAACCTAAAAGTACCACTGAATTCTGGTGCTGGCAAAATATGACTATTTTTTTCTAGTGCTATTTAATTAGAGCATTTTCAGAGAAACCAAAATAACTTTTAGTGAAATACAGCTCATCTCTAACACATCTCTGTTTCAAAATATTTTAAAACACCTTAAGTTTCAATAGCATACAAAGGTTCACTTACTTGCACCTTTACAGTCATACCAGACATTATCTTTTTGCCTGTTCATCTTCAGTTGGGATCTCAGGCTCTGACAAGCAGCAGGTATAGTTTGGAGGAAAACTACTGGCAACTTGCGAACACCACACCACTCACACTTCGTAAGGTCAGATGTTCTTAAAGAAATATCTCTAGTATCGTTTTCTGATTCTAGAAAGGTTCAAAACATATTTTGGTCAGAGATACTTACATTAACATTATCTGAAAAATGTAACTGTTTGCATTTCAAGAAAATAAAACCTGTTAATCTATCTCTGAAATTTGCAATAGGTATATTTGCCCTACTATCAAATATAGCCTCGTAGTGTGTCTCTCTGCCTGGCTTGACAGTTTTAAAACTGAAATTCATGAAGTTAATACTTAAGGAGCGATTATTATTTCCAAGATCTTTTTTGAAAAGGAACCACTGAATAGTCATACAATATTAGGTATATTCCCTGCACCATCCAATTTTACTTTACAAGAAGGGAAACTGTCCCTTAAAGAGTTATGCACTATTTACATGTGATGATATTCAGTATCCATTATTTCAATGGGTCTACTATGGGTATGACTAATGTTGTATCTTAAGGCTAAAACAATATATTCAGCAGCAAACACAGGAGCTTGGATCAGCAACTGGGCAAGAAGAACTTCCACTCACAGAAGGAGCACATTCTGCGCTTCTGCCATTCTCTGTAGTCCACTCACACCACAACCCGTATCATTCTAGAGTGACTTTGGGGGTACACAGAGGAAAGCAGTGGAAGGGGTGAATGTCACCAACACTTCTTTAGTTCAAATCCAAGATCTTGGAATAATGCAGCCTCCTATGTTTACAAGTCAGGCCATCTGTCTCAGTACTGTCTACCCAGACAGGCAGTGGTTCCCCAAGTTTCAGGCAGGACTATTCCAACCCTACCAGGATATATTAGGAATTGATTCTGGAATCTTTTGCATTCAAAGCAGGTAAGTCTACCCCTGTTCTTGCCTATTATATGCAAAGCAAGGGCAGGACATGGTAAGTTAGGCTTACCGTATTTCAAACAGTGAAAAGGTGCTAAACATTTATCTTCTGTGGTAAGCATATTAAATCAGAAACTCCAAATCCAAATACATAGATTATTCTTCCACCATTCTCAGTACTTAGTACAGCTGTTGTGCACACTAATAATTCCAAACCAAGCACTGCTAGCTGCCCAAATTATAACTTAGAATAGGGAAATACAAACCTTCCAGACGTATCTTGATATAGTCTAGGCAAAACTGAAAGAGAAGGTCCAAATTACTGAAGTTATACACACAGGGAGAAAATCAACATCACACTCTTCTGATCGTTCTGTCAGCACGAACTTTTCTGCTTGTCAGATAGAACAACCCAATCTTTCCCCCTCCCCCCGTGTGCAATTCTGGGGATTTTCTTGACTCTCCAGAGCGGATTTGGGGGAGGCATGAGGAAAAGCCCCATTGCATGAGTAGGAGTCCTTATGATGGCTTCCACTGGTGCACTGGGTTAGTTGAATCTAGGCCACTGTCTCATTAACAACCTTCCCAACCTATTTTTCAAAATCAAAGCCCTAGTCACAAACCAGATTAGAAATTGCACCTCCTGACATAAAAGCCCCACTTTCTAAACCCCAGCATCATTTGATTGTAAAAGAAATGCATTTTAAGAGGTATGCAGGATATAATGAAATAGCATCTGTGGTTGGTATACTAATTTTATAGAAGTTTAGGAATACATGGCTTTCTAAACCTGAAGGAACTATTCCTTTTTGTGTAAACAGAACTACGTTTCATTGCAGTGGAAATGATAGCTGCTTTTCAATCTAAGTAGAACTAGATTTTTTTTGGTGACACAACTATGTCTCCTGAAGCTCTACTAAGTGGTGAACATGGTCCTCTAATACATTTGAGTTTGAACATTTGTAGCCTGTGGCAGTTCAAACTAAGCACACTTCTGAATCAATATGTACACACACCCTGAATCTGCAGTACAAGTATAGATAGAATTATCTTTAAAATGGTAGCACATGTCTACAACAGTGATGGTTACCATCTGATTTTCTGCATCCAACTACAGATGGCACGCATGCACAAGACTCTAATAAACGGGCATGCTGTCTTTTTGGCACCTGCTAAAGACTTTCTTCGTTCAAAAAGCTTTCCTAACAGATTTTTATTCCAGTTGGCATCTGTATTGGAATTGTTTTTATATAAGTAATTGTCTTAACAATTAAAACTTGCCATTGTCATAATCATCTTCATATATCCAATTGCATTTAGTTCATCATCTTCCTGCCACCCAGCCCACTAACTGCATTTCCAACCTGTTCCTTAAGGATTTCAAAATTCATCTTGTTGGCCCAGCTATCTTCTGCCTCCCATCCAAATCTCCATATCCTTTGACCTCCATATTTTGAAAGACTTCCCAAATACTGCTATTGTCATTCCCTTGTTCTTACCTTCAAGAACTGCTCTTTGCAGCCTTTACTACGGAATTTCCTTTAAAAGACAAGGTGACAGAAGAAAAACACTTCCTGTGTTTCTCACACTTTGGCTCCTTCCATGACCTGCTATTGATACTGTAGCTCAATCATTTTTCATCACTCCATTTTATCTGCTGATTCCTTAAACTCTTCAAAGTTTCCATTTTCAGCTGCTTCCTACCTTCTACTCTCAATCTCGATGCCCCATTAAGCTATTTGTTATTATAAAGCAGGAACTAACCAAGCACAATATTAATTCTTTTACTTACAATTACAGGCTCCACCACCATTCTTCGCAGGGTTCCTATTCTTATGCTTCGACAATTTAGGATGACGCTTTCATAATTATTCTGATATTTTAAAGATACGACGACGTCAGTAGCATGTTCTTGCGAGAGGACTTTGCGCCGTTTTACTGGAGCATTGGCTACAACATTGCCAAACTGAAAAATAATTATCAGAATTCATCAAAACATTTTTACTTCAAAAGTTGCCTTTAAAATGTGCCTTTAAAGATGATCAGGCATTAAAGGCACTGATGGGGGGAAATGTGCAAATGAAGCTTTTCTTTCTTTAGAAAAAAAAAATCCAAACTTCTGTAAACATTAAAAACATAAATACTGGAAGTATGCAAGAGATAAAAACACTCCAGGGACGGAGGAGACACACCAGAAGAGTAACAGATGGAAAAATAAAATTCTGAACAAGGACAGCAAAATAATTGTAATGACAAAAGAAAAAGGCATTAAGTTTGTTTGTTCAGAGAAAGAAAAAGAAAGAAAAGAGAAGAGAAAGAGGCATCCTAGCCAAAAGCAGTTTTTACGCAAGCTACTGCTGTGATGGTCAAAAGAGAATTGGCTGGAAGGCTGGAGCCACAATCTCTTGATACATGTGTATGGAAGTTAGAGACAAGGAGCCTACCAAGCCCATCATCTAGTATTAAGAATTTCCTGAATGAGCTTGGCACAGGCACCAACGCCATATGTAGGACTACACAGAGACTACAAAAGAATATACACATTTTTTGATCTGGTCTAACTGTTTCTGTTTATTGGCTTACTATATTTACCCGCATAAACTGAACTGCCTATCACCTCACACCAGTTATAGCTTAAGAGTCCTACTCAAATCAAGTTGGGGAGACTGAATAGTAGGGTAGCAGAACAGAGGACGTGCAAAATAACAAAAAGGAAACACTTCAAAACCAACCGTGAAAATAGGTTAGATCGAAATAATGAAGTAACATCAGACTGCATTATTTTATTGTACAGCAACACCATAGGCACAATCCAAACAAATCCCACTGATTTCACCACAAGATTTAATCATGTCCTCCCGCTGAAATCAATGGTTAACTGGGAATGAGGGTGGAGTACGATCCAACTAAGTGACTAAAATACAAAATTGGAAGATCACAAAAAATTATAGAAAGACAATCCAGTAATTTAGGTTCCCTAAAAGAGATATCATATATTGAAACCAGACTGTTTCTTCTTTTTACATTATTATAAGCCCTGGACAAGCACACTATGTGAAATTTATTTCTGTAAAGTTTCTGTGACCCTCTAATTTTGCCAAGAATAATGTATATTAGTGATTTGTTATAATTTCTATTACATAACTTCTAATATTAATTTACCAGATTTGCCTAACAGTCTGTATGGGTTGTTTAAATGTTGCCTTTTTGTCAGCTTTTGTTTGCAGGTCCTCTGTTCAGCGGACTTCTCTGGAATATCTTTTGCATGTTCCATGTATAATATTTCCACAAATCTCAAGAAACCACATATTTAAGAGCTATAAGCAACTTCAGAGGTTTGAAGATAAACTGTTACATAGAACACGCCCTTTTTAAAGAATTGCTGCCACGACTGTTAAGTCTTAAATTAACATACCGTGAAAGTTGTCCCCCTTGACAGCACTGCTCATGGTGCATTTTTGTCTTTGTTTATCCAATTCTTGCAGAGATGCTCAAACTAAAAAACAAAAATCCCCACCACGAAATCCTTATATTAAAGTGCTATTAATTGGGACAATTTTCAAAGTACTTTAATTTTAAGGAAATTATCGTCCTTGCTGGGTGTCACTTTGCTTACCGACAGCTAGTTCACACATACCAGCTGCACTGTTGAAGCCACTTCCCTGTTGCTACTTTCCATACTCCACTGATACTACAGGACTAAAAATAACACATAGGACGAGTGAACCACATGAAAGAATCATCCTCTTCCCCCAATCTTACTGATCCGACACTAAAGTTACCTTGCTCCTCTAAAATGGCTCTGACAATGTAAACTACCAGAACAGCGTGAAAAGCAGTCACAGGAAACTGGTTCTCACATAGTTGAAGCAAACTAAAGTCCCAATCCAGGGAACACTTTTAATTATGCATATGGACCTGCTTGTGCCCAGTGTGCTTCCCCACCCCCCCTGCTTTTTGAATGCAACTTTCTCTATTCAACCTGCTTCTAAACCTTCCAAGTTTCAAAAGCAGCTTGTCACACAGTCTGTGGGATCCGATGTTTTCAAATGCCTTGCTGGATTTATACTATTAGCCACACACATTTCCAGATTGTGGTCCAGATTTGTTAAATAGCATTTGAAGATGTTAACACAATCCAATAGAGAGAGAAAGAGAGATGAAAACTATAACGTCATGTTTTGTTTCGCTCAAGAGTAGATTATTTCCCCATAAGAATACTGCAGAATATTTGCATGTATTAACTATCATATGTTCACATTTATCTATCAATATTGTATATGCGCTTACACAATCATTTCAAACTACATATGGATGGACTACCTGGTCTTTCATTCTTGATTTTCTTGGTAATATGACTGCAGGTTCTGTGTCTGCTGTAATACTAGTTAACCTTTGTTCTAGTTCACAAGTGTTTTCCTTCAAGGCTGCCTCCACCTTTCCTGTGGAAGGGGCAGGAGAAGAGCAGGCTGAATCTGCTGGACGTGGCGATATGCTCTCAATTCTGTTAGTGCTGCCACTCTCCTCCTCCTCTTCATCATCACTGGATAGGACAACTGAAAGGAAAAGCATTTGTCTCAAGTTCAAAATATTAGTAACTGGAGGTGGTGACCTTTTAAGATCTAGGCTACTAACACCATTATTTTACCCCACAGCCCTTTCAGGTAACGAACGGTTTAAGACAGAGCTAAAGAAACCTAGTTTTACAGGGTGATAATCCTCCCTTTTGAATTATGGTGCTGGAGGAGACTCTTGAGAGTCCCATGGACTGCAAGAAGATCAAACCTCTCCATTCTGAAGGAAATCAGCCCTGAGTGCTCACTGGAAGGACAGATCCTGAAGCTGAGGCTCCAATACTTTGGCCACCTCATGAGAAGAGAAGACTCACTGGAAAAGACCCTGATGTTGGGAAAGATGGAGGGCACAAGGAGAAGGGGACGACAGAGGATGAGATGGTTGGACAGTGTTCTCGAAGCTACCAGCATGAGTTTGACCAAACTGTGGGAGGCAGTGGAAGACAGGAGTGCCTGCCGTGTTCTGGTCCATGGGGTCACAAAGAGTCAGACACAACTAAACAACAACAACAAATCCTCCCTACCTTCTCTACTCAGTATTAATTACATTTATACCCCACTTTTCTTCCATGGAACACAACGCAGCATTCCTCATATCTCCATCAAAGCAGTGGCAAGTCCAGAACTACTTTGCTGGCACCAAAACCAATAAGCAACATCTGCATTTTGTTTCCTCCTCAGAAATCTCCCTACCAAGAGAGGGACTTTTTACAAATTAATGTATAACCAACATTATTAGGAAGTCTAAGGGTTCAAAAGAACTCTGTATTTTAATGTTTGAAATCGCTGTTTTTTATGTATACTTTTTTTTTCAAAAACTTAATAACACACACATATAACCAGCATTATTTGTTCTATGATTTAAAACTTACTTGGATCATTTAGATCAGATGCAGTTGTATTCTTCTGCCTTAAGTTTCCTGTAATTTTAGAACTGACTTTTCCATTCAACCGCAACATAGTAGAGCCGATGTTACGCCTCGCTGTGAAATCAGCTGAAACTGCCCCAGGAGAAGATCCATAAAACTTCTTTGTATTTAGTCCTGTGTTTAAAGATTTTTGCCCTGTTGAATTCTCATGTATTGGTTCTCGTGCTAAAGGTCCCAAAGAATCATTTAATTGAACACTTTGCATGGTCTGCCTTTGCAAGCCCCCATTACAAAAATTTCCACACATTTGGCATTTGATCTGACTTTCATTTGGTTTTCCTACGCATAGGCAAACGGTGGAGTAAGTATTCTGTTCCAAGCCCTAGAGATTAAAAAGAAGGTGGGGGGAGAGAATAAGTAGCTGTATTTATTTTGATCACATTTTCAAAATAAACACATTAGACATCCTATAAGGCTTAGGCAGATTTGAAGCGATGAGATGGAAATCTAAGCAATCTCTTTGTGAAATTTCAGGTTGAGAACCTGCCACAAGAACCTGGCTGCATAATTCAAATTATTAGGTCACATCATTTTATTTGGGCCTGTGCCTCCACTTCTAGTCTTCCCTCAAGTCAGTGTTGTTCAACCCACATTCTACTTTACCTCTGCGCTTTACTCACACAGTTTCCAAGTCCTCATATCCTTTTGCCCCCGTCAGCCCCAGAGCTTCTTGCCATTCACCTACCAGGCCTCTAAGCATCACTGTCTACCCAACATCTTCAATAATTTGGAAGAAATGTTAGAATTGTTGAGGGGCAGATGTTCAAAATGTAATCAATATTCATTATGTTTACCATTATTCTATCCCCTCTCCATACAGCAGAGTACATGTATGTGCGTGCTAGCCAAAAAGCAGGAATCAGCAAGTTTACCTTTTGGGGAACAGTATTGGGAAATCAAGTTCTTTGCTTTCCAGTTAAGTTTTGACATACAACAGTTTTCTGCTAAAAACACAGTGCCAGTGCTGTTGTGGTAGCAATGGCACCTGAAGCCAAAGTACAACAACTACAAGATATTCTGTAGCCCAAGACCTAAAAATGCAAATTAACCTTCTAACAATATCAACATCTGAATGAATTTAACAGAATTTAAGGAAATTTCACCATATAACCCACCTCTAAGTGAGTTGCACATTTTTTGGTAGCAGGAGATGGAAGCAAACCGGACTGATACAAAGTGCAGTGACGTTTCAGTTGTACCTTCCTCGTAATTCCTGAATCTGACTCTGAGTCAGACTCTTCTCTGTTCTCCATCACACTTTCTGAAAGGGGAGAGTGAAATCATTAACAACAACTTCCCAATGTCCTCAGCTGAAGAACAATGTAACTCTATTTTACTCCTTTATATCACTCCAAAAACAGCAGAAAAAGTTTCTAACTGCCTATCTCCATGTTTAAATGGAAGGTCTGAGGTGGTACTTCTTGAAAGCAACTACTGCTCACCCAAAGTGTGTGAAAGAGAACAACAAGTTTTTTCTGCCTGTTGCAGCCATTGTAAGCACTGTGCTTGATGCTGTATGATTTTTAATTCATCTCTACAGATATACTGCACACCACCGGAATGAAACTCAGCTTGGAAACTCCTTCAGTAGGTTAATCTGTAGATAACCAATGCACAAATGACAATGGCCAGCTATGTGTAATCTTGCAGCATGTATTGCTAACATACCAAACAAAGCCAAGAAAAAGCACTGCAGGCCACAGCTGCCACTTGGAAATCCAGTAACAAATCCAGGTCCAAACTCTGGTCTATACAGTATAGGATAATTTGATCTCATCTATAACAGGCAGATTTAGCCTACTTAATCTACCCACTTTGATCAACTGTGTGTTACCTGGATGAAGCTTAAGTTTATTCATTCCCATGACGTCTACCACTGATCACAGGCACATTTAATGAATACTGATGAAACCAAAACATACTCCATGTGTTAGTTAGCTCAACTAACACATTTCAGCTACTGACAGAGCAGCCAACATGCGCCATTCTAACACATTTTATCAAGAGTGCTTCTACTCAGACATTCGTTAATGCACTTAATCCATATATAATGTACACCTATTTGACAGACATTTAATGGAAGTAAAAACAAAGTAAAAAACTTACGCATCCCCTGAAGCCGAGACAAACTATCATAGTCATTTTCTATCTTCTGGATGTTAGGAGGATATTCTTTTCTGGGGGAAAATAATTAGAAGCTGTATTCAGAAAATATATGGCTTATTTAAATGGAACAAAAACAAAAGATTTAACACTGCAGAAATCTTAATTTAGAATATTGAAGCTTGCCATGTTCTAAAGCAATAAATGTACATATTCAAACACAATTCCAATGCAAACAAATGAATAGTCAGGATAAATGAGAAAAGATAAGTTTTGCAGCATTTTTAACAAAATATATTTTAAAAAAATATGCAGTAACCATATACTGCATTGAAAGACCTACATTGGCGCCCAGTACGTTTCCGAGCACAATTCAAAGTGTTGGTGCTGACCTTTAAAGCCCTAAACGGCCTCGGTCCAGTATACCTGAAGGAGCGTCTCCACCCCCATCGTTCTGCCCGGACGCTGAGGTCCAGCACCGAGGGCCTTCTGGCGGTTCCCTCATTGCGAGAAGCAAAGCTACAGGGAACCAGGCAGAGGGCCTTCTCGGTAGTGGCGTCCGCCCTGTGGAACGCCCTTCCAGCAGATGTCAAAGCGATAAACAACTACCTGACATTCAGAAGACATCTTAAGGCAGCCCTGTTCAGGGAAGTTTTTAACGTGTGATATTTTACTGTATTTTTGGTTTCTATGGAAGCCGCCCAGAGTGGCTGGGGAGGCCCAGCCAGATGGGCGGGGTATAAATAATAAATTATTATTAATTATTATTATTATTATTATTATTATTATTATTATACACACTACTTTTCTGATTGCAAAAGTATCCATCATACAGCACTGCAAACTAAAAGTTTAGCAGAAAGACTACAACTACTACTAGTTACAAGTAGGTAGCTGTGTTGGTCTGCCGTAGTTGAAACAAAATTAAAAAGTTCCTTCCAGTTGCACCTTAGAGGTCTCTACGGTGCTACCGGAAGGAACTTTTTTATATTGTTACAACTACTACTGTCTTGATATAAGCCCAGCTAAAATTCGATTATGTGCAGTATATTTTTAATTTTCCAAATACTTGTTAATTTTCCAAATGCTTACTTACCAGAGCCTGGTAAGGGTCTCCCGCAACCTTCCCAGAGCCCAGGAAGTAAGGAAAACCCACTTGGTGCACAGGTGTGTGTGTTTTATTTATTTATTCTCTCTCTACACGTGGTATGTTGCAATAGTGTATGTAAAGTGAGCACAGGTTGCAGGCCCACTGTGGGAAGTGGCCAGTATGCAACTGATCCATTATGGATGCAGAAAGTTATATGTCGTTTCATCAAGCTTCTGGATGTTTTCATTCAATTCACTGCATAAAATGTGGCTGTTTTCTCTTGCGACTGTGTGTCTGACACAGCCTTTAATACTTCATATCTTTTTATTTGAAAGATAGACATGTTTATATAGCTGGCTCTATTGCAGTTTCTACCTCAAGCCACTTAAGTGATTTAACAGAATTCCTGCTTGAAATTTCCTGATATTTAATAACTGTCCAACATCTAAAGAAGTAATGTACAAGACATATGACATCATGTCCATAGTGCACATGTTGCTATTTCTGGCCACAGGATAAATTCATTCAGCTTAATACCAGAAGGGGTGGTTAGAATAAATTCTCAAATAAAGTTGTTTTAATTCCATTAACAAGTCACATAAATTACCACTTTAGTATTAGTAACCTTTCATGAGCAATCACAATGAAACCCCTGCCTAAACAAACCCAAGTACTAGGAAAAAACAATGACTTGAAGATTCTCTCTACCTGAACAAAACTCAGGGAGGTACATAGAACAGTTTTAGTTCTAATAAAATGGACAGCAGCTTAGTGTGGTTTAGCTGAGAACAAATCTCAGCTTGTGGTTAACAAGGATAAAGCTTGACCATTAGTCCTGGTTTGGCCCACGTGCTACGCCATACATTGGCTTAGCTAAGCACATTTGTGCTTTCTAAGTCAAGGTGTAGCTTAGTGTGTCAGACAAACCACATCAAAACATATTCACATGTAAGAACTTCTGGCGAAGCAAGATGGCAAGCGCCACAGCCCCGCAGAGCTCCTAAGCAGCACCAGCTGAACTGCCTGACTGGTCCCCGCACCACCAAAACAGCCACTGCCACCACCATGATCCAAGGAGAGTCGGAGTGCTCACCACAGAAACCAAAGAGGCCACATGGAGCCCCCGGGACTTCCCTGACAATCTCAACCCCATTGGGACCAAGATTGCTCCAGCAACAACTCAGTGGAGCTCCAGGGCCCAGAGGCTCCAGTTGAACTAAAAACAAAGCAGAGCGGCCCACCCCAACCCCTAGCCAAGCACCCACCGATTACCATCGCTGCCATAGCAACCACCAAGGGAGAAAGGTAGGAGGAGACCGGGAGAGAGTTGGTGCAAAAAGAGCAGGCCGGTGCCGGGGTTCACCCAGGAAAGCCAAGGCATGGCGCAGACCTTCACTTGCTGGCATGTGGGTGCTGCTGGCTGCCAGAGACGGGCACAACAAGAATCCTAAGACTAGGATTTTTATTTTATTTTTATTTGTTATCCCCTTTTTATTAAATAAAAAATTTTTTGAAAATTTTTATTAAGAATTGTAAGGGCGGCACCCACAAAGGAGGCCTGAACCATCAGAGGCCACTTCCAGGGACTGCTGCCTTAGCCTTGACGCAGGGACCCTCACCAATACCCTTTTTAACTACATATACAAGCCTCCATTTCAACAATACCACTACATTATTACTCATTTTCATCTCATTTTTTATTCACTTTTCTTTTCATTCTCCCTTTTATCTTTTTTTTTTAAACTGCCCTCTCATTTTTAACACATATCCACATGTATAAAAGAAAGAAGTTCCCATGTATAAGGAAGTTGCAGTAATGTTCTGTCATTATTATAAAATGTATAAGATAAATATCCTCAGAATAAAAATCAAAACTGCACTTTTCCTGACAGAAATATCTCCATTGAAAATTTATAAAGAAAAAATGCTATTTTTATCCACTATACTCCTTTCCTACATAAGTGAAAAAGCAAATCAAACATGTACTTTTGTGTAACAGAGTAATATTGTGTATTTGTTTCATATACTGCTTTAAATAAATCTAAAGCAGAAAACACAATGTTGCAAATCAGTTCTGCTTATAATCCAACTATACACACACACACACACACACACACACACACACACACAAATTATGTAAAGAAACAACTTGCAGAATGGCTCCAATGGTTTCTTGCACCAACACACTATCTCACCCCCACCTCTAGGATGCTAGTGTAAAGGCTCCACCACACCAACCAAGGCACTTCTGCTCACATACTAAAATGCTTCTTCTTTCTAAATCCAATCAAGGTTGAAACATCTGTGAATGTGAAATTCCCATAGTAGAAAGAGAACTGCCTCAATAACTACAAAATAGGCCCAGCTCATGGTCTCACAGAATGGCCTATCTCCCATCAGGAGATCTAGAGCAAGGACTCCCCTTGTTGATATTAACTGACATGAAGAGTGGCATGGCAAGACACTGTCCCTTATGTAGTGGGACCCATGCAGTTTCTGGCTTTAAAAATTAACACCGAATGATTGTAAAAGACAAAAATATATACCTAAAAAGTGACTGCAACCTTTCTATACCCACCCTGATGATCTGCACAAGTCAAGTGCTGGATAGAGTAGCAGTCCAGGATGATATAGGACAAAACAGAGCACTCTGAATCAGTCAGCCAAGTCTAATACAGCTCTGGTTAGCTGCCACTTCTATAACGTATGGAAGGCAAATTTTTTTACTGGCAGTCAGTTTTGCATTTACCAGCAATAATGCCATTCTGGTGGCCCCAGTAATAATAATCTAAAGTATGGGTGCGGGCTTGGAGCTAGATCACAAGGATGTAAGATGTCCCAAGTTCCCTTACCTTCCTTCTGAAGCCATACCTTCTCTTGCTCCAAATCTCCTGCATGTTTGCCCTGGCCAATGTCCTCCTCTGTCCAATCTCAATAGAGACACATTTCTCCTTCTCCACCCACCACAACCAGCAAGCAAGATCTGGTATTTCTGTTTAAATTAGCATATCACAGAACACGTGTTTTCTTGACTAACAGTGCAATCCTAACAAAGTCTTCACAAAGTCCTATTTAATTCAATGGTGCTTACTTCCAGTTAAGTGGAGCTTAGGTTGCTGCCTTAATGCCTGTGCTACATAGATGGACATATGTAGTACACAAAGATGTACGCATACATGTATCACAGGTATTTAGTCAAGAAAACACACCAATTTAAACAAAACAAAAAATCATTACAGCTAAATGAGTGGTAACACACCAATTGTTATTCTAGCAAAATAGTTTTTCCATCAATGTTGACCATTAAGCTTGCTAGTGTGGATTTAGCTATGAGACACAACTTCATTATTTCCACCACATTTTTATTACCATGCTCATGTCACCATTGAGCTTACCTTTCCTTTCGATCCAGATTGCTTAAAATATGAAAGAGAAAAATATAATAAGATACAAAGCCCTTAATTTGTAGAACATCAGTAGATTTGAAAAAAGAAATCTGTATCTGGATATCCAATATTCAATTTAAATTTGAACTCTTTGTTGTAAGTAGCACTTAGCATCTAAATTTGCCAAAAAAGATCACACTTTTTAGCTGCTTAATACCGTATAATTCCAGGTCTGTCAACAGTTACTGGCATAATGCTCTATAGAATATATGTCAGAATATAACTGAATGTATTGTGTCAGCATATTATAGTTCTGTAAGGTTATTTAAATAACCGTATAACAAACATTCATTAACACTATTGTATAACCATTGAGTCCCTTTTGCTAAGAATTTAAAGGCCAAACTATTAAGATGATCCTAGCGAGATGTCCACTAAATAGTGGGAACACATACAAAGGAGATTTTATGATGCAGCAGCATCTAGGCCATATGGCGTCATGCACCAGCTCACATTCAAGCAAATGTCTCTAAACTTCCTATTCAGGTCTCACATGAATCTGCTTTCTTCTGGGTCTAAATAATTCCTTAGTGTTTTTAAAAAGTGGGGAAAAGAAAGAGAAAGGGGGACAACCAATCTATTGTGTTTATATAATATGAAGAAAGCATGTAAATGAATGTCCATGGAGGGCAGCAAGGCCCACATGTTCACATGGTTGGGTTTGTAAAAAAGTTTGGTAAAAATAGGTTTAAATAATTAAGGTTTAAATAATTAGGCACAATGGAGTAGGCCCATTTGAGCCTCAACATCCCCATCTTATTACCGGGCTTTACCATCTTTATTTTGTTTAGTTCCCATCTTGTCTCATCTTTTCAGCCCCTGCTTTCTACACCTACATCCTTTTTCAAAGACTTGCACCATACTCTGTCAGTTTCCTTTCCCTTAACCTCTACATACCTTGTTTCTAAACCAGGTATTTAGCATTTTAAAAATCTGAACAAAGTAACACTTCTATTCCAAAATGTCTGGCACAGATGTATTTACATTTGACAAAGTTGCTGTTTAAAATTTTTTTATCCCTTTGCCTCTTCATAAAAAACTTTTAAAAACCTTTCTAAATATGGCATTCGAGCTGCATATGTAACCAAACCTCAAGTCACAAAAGCAATATATGATGCAAATTTGGGGATTCCGTCTTAATTTCAAGAGAAGATAAGTTTTGTTAATCTTACTGAAATTCTTATCAGGAATATATCATTTGGAAAAGAAAAGTTTCACTCTGAATGTTTCACTCTGCTTTTCTGTGGGTTGAATCCAGGCTTGGTCATGCCTAGAATAGATCTATTTAAACCAATGTAATTTAAGTTAGTCATAACTAACAAGTCATAGATTTCAGCGAGTCTATTCTAAGCATGACCAAGTTAGACTCCAATCCTAAGTAAAGAACAAGCCATGGGAAAACATATATTGAATGCTTTGATGGTAAGCACTATGCATATGGCAAATAAGTCGTGGACATATCCCAAGTTGCCTGGGAGAACTTGTTATAGTACACAGGTGAAACTAAGTAACTGGTGGACTATCGTTGCCTAAGAAGTTTGGGGATCTTACACCATTCAACTGTATTTTGGTAGGATACAGTAACAATTTCCCCTCAGTATACGAACAGAATACTGTGGTGCAAATGACAGTGTTGTCCCCTCACCACCTGCTACCCATGGCTCACTTTGGGAAAATCTGTTAAGATAGAGAGTAGTTACTTAAATTTTAAATATTTACAAACTTAATGTCTGACTGCATTATTTACATGGCATAAGCATGGAATTGTGGCAGGGGTGGGGGTACATGAGGGCTGTTAACTTTATTTTAGTTTCTAAAAATATATATAAGAGGAGGGAATATTCTATTACTTCATCTCCATCCTTCACATAAAGTTTGGGAGCTTCTGTCTCACCAAAAAACCTCATCTAGGGAAGCAAAAATCAAAACTATTTCCCTCAAAGTCCAAATCTTGATTCCTTAAGAAATGCACTACTAAAACCCATGGTGAAGTAGGAAGATTGCACAATCAACCATACTATAACTAAGAAACATTTTTATTTTATTTATCAAATTTCCATGCCACTGATGCCTGCCCCGCCCCCCGCCGCCCCAGATCTGAGGTTCACAGGGTGGTATACAGATCAGACTTTAGATTAAGGCTCAAGTGTGGTTAACAAGTTCAGGACCTGACATATTATATAACAATGTCCAAATTTGTGATTCAATCAGGGTAAGGAAAGGTATAGATGAAAAGCCTACACCACAGACATAGTAGGCAGACTGTGCTCGGTGGACCTACAGTGCTCAAAATATCTCTTCTTCTGGGTTGTTGAATGAGTCTAAATACTGTAAGCTGGTGAACACTCAAAGCTTCACCAACAGAGAGTTCCATGTATGAGTTGACCCATAAATAATACAAGTAGGACAGAAGTAAGTAAAAGATGACAGACATGTGTCTTTATTCCCCAGTAAAGCTTCATTGTGGCTGCCTTAGAAGTACAACTCATTGGGCGCCATGCAGTTATACTACATACCACTTACTTGGTCTAGAAAAGACCCTAATTCACTTACTCTATCTTAGCCCCTAGCCAGATAAGGAACAAAATATTCTAGAACCTCTTAGACTGGTTGCAATACATACAATTTAAAATCTCAGATAATCAAAGTGACTTTTGTGCTGTTTCAGCACATGATGAACCCACTATGGCAGCACTACCCTTTTTCAAAGTTTCTACATTTTTGTAAGGTCTGTAATATTTTCTGATAGATCCTTTTTCCCATCAAGTAGTGTTTCACAAGTCTACACCCAACCTGTTTTTGTTGTGCGCATTTAATGCGAGCCTTTAGCTGTTCGTATACTCTTGGATTTGCATAAGGGAAAAACAAGATGAAGCTCCGGGTTAGAAAACCAGCCAATCTGGAAGGAGGAATCAGCACAATTATACTACCAATGGGGCTTCTCCTGTCCTCAACACTCACTGTGGAACCACAGGTGGGATATTTTGACTAGGAGTGCCTTTCCTCAACTTCAGTTGATATGCCAGCTATAATCTTAGTTAGAGATATCAGGCCCTGCCTCAAAGCCATACCTTAGGTGAGACTACTGTAATGCAATCAACAAGGGCACCTTTGAAGACTGTTTGGAAGCTTCAACTGGTGAAGAATACTGCTGCCCTGTAAGTGGGAGCAAGATTAACAGAGTATGGAACTGATTCTGTACCAGCTGCACTGGTTACCAGTTTCTGAGCCCATATCAAAACGCTGGTTTAGGTTTAAAAGCCCTAAATTATTTGGGATAATTATTTGAAGGACCACCTTTACCTATATGAACTTGCCTGGGCACTGAGACCTGCCTCAGAGGCACTACTCATGTGCCCACCTGTTAGGACAATTTGGTTCATTGGCGCTATAGACAAGGCCTTTTCTATGGTGGTTCCAAGTTGTGGAACTCTTTCCCCACAGAGGTGTGCATGGTCCGTCCCCCCCAACACTACTCAGTTCTAAGCAGATATTTAAAGAAAGACCCACAGCGTACAAAGCTGTTTTTTTATGAGAGAAATTAAGTATGTCCTTTAAGTCTTACCTTTGTGCTGCTGTTTTTACTAAAGATGTTTGTGCATGAGCATGGTGACAGCGTCTAGCTTGTACTACTGTTGCGGAACAAGGAATATTTTGAACATTTTCACTGCAAACAGAAAAAACAGGTAAGAAAAAAATGTTAAATTTCACAGCATGGAAAGAATTATAAGTCTGCGTAGAGAAATTCCTCCATTACTTCACTTTCTAAGTGATACCTGAATCAGCACTTGCACTATGCTACCTAATCATAGTTACACTGACACTTTTGATTAGCCAGCTGCAGCAAGAAATGATGAGTTATTTGCAACTAGTGGGTGCAATCCTTCTTCTCCATAGAGCATCATAGTCCATCATAGTCAAGATCCCAGGTCTTAGTCCATAACAACACTTGGATATTACAAATAGAGCATATAAATCTATTTTCCAAAGGTGCAAATGTAACAAACTTAAGGTCCTTTCACAAGCAGAATTCTCACAATCACTATTTCCCCCAGAAACAAGCCATTTACTAAATAATTTTTAGTATATTAGGAATCACTATACCTCAATTTCTTGCTGCTTCCCAACATGTTGAGTCCAATTGGGGTTACTCTTAAAGCACCAGGTTCAATTTTGCTTCGTCGAGCATATGTTCTCATAGAATCACCTCTGGCACCAATAGTTCCTGAGTGAAATCGCAGCACCTGAAACAATTAGCAAAAGCTGAATCTACAAAGCAGCAGCTCTCAGATGGAGACATTTTACATTTTTATTAAGCTTTCAAATACTAAGATATTCTCAATCCTCCAAACACCTACAGCCAACACAAGAGTCTTTTTGGACCTGGAAGAAGAAAGAACAGGAGGTGGGAATGGGGTCATGCACACTCTGCCAACACATTTGGGGGCCAGGAGCAGAACTCCCACACAAACATTTGTCACCTGTGATAATAATACAAATGAAACTGGTTGTCAGATGAATTATGTTGCAAACTTTAAATATGAGAGAATGTAGTGATTTACTATTTACTGTGTTGCTTTACAGGAAAACAATCATGATTGTTTATTGTTTTTACACACACACCACAAGAAGCAAAAAGTTCACTTTGCCAAAGCTCCAAAGCTTCAAGGCCATATAGTAAGTTGCTGATAAAAGTTTAAGAAAGCATGTGTGTGCTCTTTTTTTGGCGGCATACACACTGCATGAGTTTGTAGCAGTCACCTCCTCATATTAGAACTTCTTTTTTTTTAAGTGACATACTGAAATCTTTCACTCAACGTGAAATATAAAATATGCATTTTCATGTACGTTATATTTGATAAATACTCACTTTTTTCCCACCAGTGGGACTGCAGCTTCCATCACTCTCATCCACAGTCAGCAGACTGGCTTCACTTAACAGGCAAAGAACAGGAAACAAAATATGTATATTGTAATTCAATAATAGCAAACAGGGTTTCAACAACTACTCCAAAAAGGTCTAAGTAATGTTTTCTCAATCTGTTAAACAATCACGTGGTTTACACTTTCCTCTAAAATATTTTGGTGCTAGTTTGCCTCAAAATAAAGTGTATACAAAAGACAGGGGGAAATACAATGTCAGTAATAGTATTACAAACCTGGTAATATGTAGAATTACTTTAGAAGATGGCTTCACAGTACCACTTTTGTATGGATTTTATGGACATTGTTCTAAGCAAACACAGAATTTGAGATCTAGACCTGAAACTAATTTTGTAACCAGAACATTTGCTTGTAAAGAGGTAGTACAATTTAGCAGTAAATCTAAATATGATTCTCATCAATAAATGTGTAGCTGTTAACCATTTGTGTGTAGATCAAAGTATTTCACACTGAAGGTTGTGCTTCTGTTTTTGGAATATACAGTAAATCTTCTTGGCACCATACTAGGTACCTAGAAAAAATAGTATTCCTCCCAGAGTTAGTACATCCATTGCATTTACAAGGGAAGAATATAATTAATACAAGTGGAAACTGCAGAAAAATGCATCCTTGTATCCCAGTAAGAGTGCTCCTGTCCAGGATTCTGCCATTCCACTCCCTACCCCTTTTATTTTATCTGACACTCAACCTTCCATGGCTACAGCATGCTCAGTTTTTAGTGGACTTTGGGGGGGGGCGCAAAAACATGCTGATCTCATCCTACTAAGTCAGTTCTTGCATTCTTGGGAAAAGGTTCCATTGTTATCTCAACAGAAACTGGGTTTCAACATCCAGTTGATACAACCACTTGGGCCTAGAACATCCACTGTTCCTAAACTTTGATACTAAACAATTCTCTGCATCTATGCTATGATTTAGGTTCCTTTCTTTTCTAAATAATTGCAGTAATAAAAGGATGGTGGAAATGAAGCACTAGAACCTGGGCAAGAGCAAACACAAACATAAGAAGTCTGCAAGAAAGTTACTGAAAATAAAAACACAAAATTCTTTTTGTTAATTAGCAGCACAGTGCACAAATAAGTACTATTATTCTGGAACTGAAGCACCCAAAATGAGTACCAACTGTGGTATATTAGAAGGGGATGTCACGACTGCTTCAAACATGACCTTTTTTTTTTTAAGGAATAATCCTAATATAAGAAAAATGTGTACGCAATCACTTGAGATGTACAGCATCTGTTACCATATGCACACATCAGGAAGTCATTGTGTACATTGGCCTATACACACAAATGCCAAACTTCATAAGTATAAATGTCTTCCTATTTACAGGATTATCTCTCTGAGGAAAGTGTCATATGGTATAGAACACACCTGACTTTGAGATTTGTGAGAGAAAAAGAATCGCCTATCCTCTGCGAGGGATCCAGCTATCTGTTGTTATGTTTCACTTGTCACTTTTTCACCCTGGTATTGTATTAGTATTTTTAAACGTTCATGAGACCAAATCGAATTATATTGTTAACATAAATAATTAGCTTGCTTACCAGTAGTTGTTCCATAACTCTTCTCCACCAGTCTATTAAGCAAGGAGGCTGAATGTCAGTCTACCACTCATCCCCAATCAGTAAAATTTAAAAAATGATATACTCCCATAAATATATAGTGTTGTAGGAGATACGTGAATGGAAGAATTTGTTGTCTATAAACTGTCCAAGTCAGGATTTTTGTAAGACTCAAAACTAAGAAATTTGCAAGACAGTAGTCTTCAGTTTAGGTAAATAGGACAGGGTAGGGTGGAAAGCCATCTCAAGAGACACATAACAGCATGCATGTAATGAAGTTTCTATATGACCTTCAAGTGTTTTTATTCTAAAATAAGTGCCAAAAAAATACTGAATTCTTTTGCTATTTAAAACATTTCAAAAGTTCCTGACTCGGTTGTTTTAACCTGAGCTAGGTAGGCTCCATAACTGCACTAATTCCCTGAAATTCTAGTTATTAAAAATTAAAAAATAAGACACCTACTACTTGCTTCTGGAATAATCCGTAACATCGTTAGGCAATAACTAGCCTGAGAAAAACCTTACATGAATGTGACCCTCTTGTGGGTATGAATTAGTGACACTATAACACTTCCACTTTAGAGAATTAGAAATGAAGGGGTGTTCAGTTTTCTAATTACTGTAACGTTCCACATTTTACTTTCTGTAGCCTAGATTAAGGTATCCTTACTCTTTTTCTGCATCTCCTTCACTTTCGTCTGAACAATTAAAGCCCCAGGTATTTTTGAAACCTCCATCTCGCTTGGACTGTGATGTATCCAAAGCTGAAACAAAAATAAGTTAAAATCAGTTCACGTTCCAAGCAACACATACTAAGAAAAGAAAAATTACAGCTAACAATTCCACTATTTAGCTGACAGATCACAAGACAATACTTTAAACACTATTTTACTCTTCTATTTATCAGCCTTGGAACATTTGAAACAACCACTTAAGGAGGTTGCAGAACAGGGCTAGGGAGGTGCAAAACCTGGGAAAGTCTTGAGGGCTAAATAGAGAAGCTTGGAGGGTCCGATGTCACCCCAGGGCCTGAGGTCCTTCATTCTTGATGTAAACCAAAGTCGGGAACATAATGTTGATGATAGAAATAATGTTTAGTTACATTCTGAATTCCGTTACTGTCATGAGAGGATTTTTTAAAAGCAAGTTATGTTTAACAGTATTATTTCAATAAAAACCTTAAGGTTTATTTTGGTGAACAGTGGAACGTTTTATTGTAGCAGATTTAATGACAAAATAACTGCTAGAACTTAATGGGTCTACAAGGCTGATCCACATCTGCTTCCAAATGATAATCACAGAACTCACAGCACTGCACAGAATGCTTGAAAACTCTAATGTGGTATTTACGGACTTTTCTGTGGAGGGGATATCATTTTTTTCTTAAAAACTGGGGTGGTACAACTGCCAAGACTACACTGCTAAACAATGGAGGTTCCAAAAGGTACTGGGATTCTTCCATTTCAGTGTCAGCAACAATGCTCTCTATCTCTACTACAGTGGTACCTCTGGTTATGAACTTAATTTGTTCCAGAAATCTGTTCTTAACCTGAAACCGTTCTGAACCTGAGGTACCACTTTAGCTAATGGGGCCTCCCGCTGCCGCCGCGCCACCACCGTGAGATTTCTGTTCTCATGCTGAGGTAAAGTTCTTAACCCAAGGTACTACTTCCGGGTTAGCGGAGTCTGTAACCTGAAGTGTTTGTAACCCCAAGGTACCATTGTATGTATTTTGCTAAATGGTTTGTCTGCTTGTTTTCTATGTGTTCAGATGCCTCTTGAGATACTGTTGCCAAACTCAGTATAAGGCTGAACTCAGGATAAGGCGGCCTTTATCCCCATTTGGATGCTGGCCACCATTTTGAATCAAAATGGTTGACCAAAACATCACTTTGGTGTGACTTTGTCTGTTTGTGAGCATAGGTTTGATTGCCTCTCAAAATATTCTCACCAAATTCAACATGAAGATTCTCGAGATGGGGATAGAAGTCTCTGTCGGGCACCACTATTCATTTAAAAATCACAATATATTTTTGGTTTCTAAAAATTTATGGGCAGCACTGGGCACTCCACACTAGTTGGGACTATATGCGGCATCCAGAAAACCTTCCAAAAGAATATCCACTCTACATATTTCTATCTGCAATGCCGCTGTCTTTTACAATATCAGGGTTAATTAATATATCTTATAATTCTTGCAATTTACCAAAAAAGCAGTGTTTCAAGTACATTACAGTGCTATTTCAGATTTTGAAATTAAATTCATATGACTCACTACAGATAAAATTCATTCTCACGCCCAATTAGATTCATTCATGAAGTATTCTTAAAAATCTATACAACAGCAAAACCCAACATTTCCTCAAACATGTCTTTTTCCTGGGGACTCATACGAATCAAAGAGTCTCCGAGTATTTTGTACAATTTGTACTTTTAGCTTAATAAAGTTGCTCACTGTAACTATGGCAAATTAGGCTGCATACATATGATAATTTTACAAGATTCTGAAGCACTCTTGCATAGCTATTATTACCCATAATATACATAATCATTTTTCTATCCTGTTGTGGTCTCTGATCAACCAGATTTCAGGTTTCTGTAGCACTTTAAACAGTATCTGAAAGGAAAAAAACTGGCTCCCAACAACTACTGCAACAGATGCACACACAGCTGTTGCTTAATAGTTAAAAGAAATGTTTAGTAAGCAAAATACATATACATATCCACTTATGATTCCATTTCAAGAGAAAAATAATAACAAAAGGATACCTCCTTCCACAGTGTCAAATCACATTGTTTCAATAACCTTTTCTTAGTTTTAATAATCAGTCCCCTTCTTCAGTACTTTATTTTATCCTTAGGAGGGAACATTATTAGAATAGTAACTGGTTTCCATCTGAGCTATTCACTTTCACCACTCAACTGAGACTCTTCAATCCACATACATATATCAAAACGACAACTGCTGGTTCAGGACTACTGCCATGGTAATAGTAATGAAGAGGAAGCTCTCACTGTTCTATATAATAACTGAATGTACACCACCTTAGCATGCATACCACCTTAGTAATGCAGAGAGAGAAAATGCCACTGTTTTAGAATATGAATTAGCATCATGTTCCTCAATTACTGCTGAGAACTAAATGTACTCTGTATTGTATTGTATTGCATTGCACTTATGCAGGTAAATCATCTGATGATCATTATTTGAATTAAATGTGAGGATTCAGAATGCTTACTCAGTAAATAAAGTACTGTAATTCACATTCCAGCTTCTATGAAGAAGCAGTATTGAGTCAGTCTGTAATTTAAACTGAATACAGGAGCAAGCATAGGTTTCAGAAAAAAAAGAGAATCATGAAGGAAAGTGGCTGCATTCCCTCAAGGGTAATCCGTTGGGTGTACAGGTGTCATGTGGGGCCAGATCCAAAAGTGAGCAGTTTATAGCGCTGCAGAACTGCATTGTTCCTGTTCTGAAACACTACTATGGATAGGCAAATATGTCAATTTCAATCGGTTTCTCATTTTTACCATCTTAAACTCAGCTCTCCAGATCAGATCCAGATTTTTCTGGAGAAAGAGCCTCATGAAAATTTAAGAGCATTTTAATGTGTGTTTTTCCTAATACAATGGTACCTTGGTTTACGAACTTAATCTATTCTTATACCAAGGCGCACTTTCCCTAATGAGGCCTCCCACCATTGGTGCCCTTCCACCGTTCAGATTCCGTTCTCACTATTTCCGGTTTTGAGGAGTCTGTAAACCGAATCGTTCTTAAACGGAGATACCACTAAACATATACATATTTTGTATGCAATTTTGCCTAATGTACAAATTCTTGAAGCATTTCCCCTAATTTAATGCATCATGTTATTTTAACTAATATAGGCATTTATATGAACACTTTACTGCCCTAATATATGAATTTTGGTACATATTGCTTGGCTGGCGAACTGCACTGCCAAATTCAGAGAAGTGCACATTTAAAACAATGGCTGTGTTTTTGTTTGCTTATTATTTCAGAAAGCGCAAATTAGATAGATTCATCTTCAAATATAAGCTGATTCAAATCCCGCCCCCCCCATCTGTAGACACCTTTCCCAAGCATACACTTTATGCGGAAGAGGAAGTGGTTCTCAGAGAGGTGGTTCATTGAGCAACAATAGGTACACAGCATCCCAGTGAGCACATGACATATGATGCAAGGCCACAGGCTACCCACCACTGGGTGAGAGAATCAGAAGGGAGGCAAAAACGGGAGCTCTGAAAAAGCTTCACAAAGCATAAAAGTAGCAGGTGGCTAGAAGAAATTTGAACTAGGTAGCCAGTGGCTCAAAACAAAAAGACCTAATAAAACTGCAGGAAGTAGAAACATGAGATTAAATGATGAGGCAATGCAGAAACACGGGACAGAAGGGGAGAGTGCTCTTTCAGGTAAGCTGGCCCTGAGTATACAGTACTAGAACACACAGTATCCTAAAGCAGAAGATTTCACTACTGAGAAGAGAGACTTTGCAGAAAACTGCTTAGAATTGGAGGGGGAGGTCACTCTGTCATATTTAACTCCTAGTCATGCTTCAGCACATCATCTTATGTAAATTAGAAACTGGCTTCCACCTTGTTCTCTAACTGCTGATGTCCTTATTACTAAACAACACAGAGGGTGGAGAGAACACTGTCAAATGTGTTTTTCCTTAGCTACCCTGCCCCACAGTGGGCCCATTTCATTTCTTTGCCATTCAGTGTCCTAGCTGGGATAAAAAAATCTGCAGGAGCAGCAAAACTGAAACCAGAGCAAGTGCTAATGGAATCTTTTTATTCATGTAAGTCTGAAATAAGTATATCTAAGGGGAAAATATTAGAAATTGTTCGCCTCCTTGGAAGTCTGTCTATAAACAGTTTTTAGTCCAAAATGTATTAATGCTGCTGTACAACAAACTGCAGAGAATGCCAATAAAGCCATGGTTTTCAAAGTGGGAGGCAGTTTTCCAAAATGTGAAATGGTTGCTAGGGAAGACATTACCAAGCACAGAGAATAAAAAAGTGGGGGGGGGGGGAATGTGAAACACACACTGCATTTTCTTTTAGATATAAGATCCACTCATCCTACCAACAAAAATCTTTCCTTTTACATATTATGAAGTATGATCTCATCCATCATTAAGTTTGTTACCTACGGCAGACTAGCTTTTCAAAATGTAGTCATGCCCTGTGTTTACCCACAGTGAGCATTCTCTCCAGGCGCTAAAGAGGAAAGCACACGTTCACTTACCTAGCTCAGAAAATATGTTTCAGATATTGTTAGGTTGGTGGCAAAGGCAGGGGAATAAGGGGAATAATAGTTCCTTCACCTGAACTGCCCTCATTATTTACTGCCCAAATTATTCATGACCAGTGACACTGTCAGAAGTACAAGGCCATCCAAAGTCAGGAGAATAAGACTACCAATGGTTACTAGTCATGATAGCGCTGTATTATCTCTAGTATCAGAGGCAGCATGCTTCTGAACACACTGATGGGGATCATGAGCAGAGGAAGACTATGTTCTAGTTGTGGCCTTGCCATAGGAATTTGGTTAGCCACTGTAGAGATTAGGGTGTGGGCCTAGCAGAGCCTTTGGTCAAATCCAGGCAGCCTTTTTAAAACTTACATAGAGGAGTACTGGGCATCTTCCCCTTCCCCAAAACCACAAACCAAATGTAGCCTTTTAGTTTTCCTGATAAGAATGAAGAAGAAGAAGAGAAGAAGAGTTTGGATTTGATATCCCGCTTTATCACTACCCGAAGGAGTCTCAAAGCGGCTAACATTCTCCTTTCCCTTCCTCCCCCACAACAAACACTGTAAGGTGAATGGAGATGAGACTTCAGAGAAGTGTGCCTAGCCCAAGGTCACCCAGCAGCTGCATGTGGAGGAGTGGAGATGCGAACCCGATTCCCCAGATTACGAATCTACCACTCTTAACCACTACACCACGCTGGCTCACGTTTCTGAGAGGAAGTAAAAGGGATGCTTTCAGAGATCATGAGAGTGGGCTCCTAAACTAGCTCCCTACTCCTGGTGATGCTGACTACAAAGAAGCGAACCTGCTTCAATCTACATAGCCCCATCCTATGTTTCATTTCTTGGGTATACTAAAGTACCAAAGAACATTTGGAACTTGGTTTTATAAATTGATTACATGTAGGGTTTCCCAGAATCCTGTGCCCCATGATCAAAAGTTCCTTACAGACTCAGAAGTGCAGTGATGCTTTAAAGCTACTGAATTTTTGAAATCAACAGAAGTCATTAAAGAATGCAAACATCAATAAATAAACAGGAGCAGCTCAGTAAAGTAAAAAATAGGAAATTGCTACAGAAATGGTTTCATTCTCACTAGAAGTCATTGCTTGCTTGCTGTGGGAATTATATAGAAATACATTTATTCTATTTAGTTATTCTATACAAAAAAAGTATGACAAAATCCTGATGCCCCAAATCCTCATTTTTGTTCATTCCTATTGGAAATGAACACCATTCATTGGAAACAATAGCAAGAAGGGATTAAACATGCCTAACGTTCTTGACACTGGATGGCCCAGCCACTTTGATAGGGACCATCGCATATCATAGTCAAAATTTGTTCATGCAACTATGTTCCCATAACATGATTGTGTGCGCTGTTCAATTAAGTCTAAAATGTATTCATAGCCTGAAAAACTGTGCAAGTTGAGACCTATGCCATCTCCTAGAAACTATATAGATGTAGAAGTTTAAAATACTGTTAATGGGGCTTAAGAATACCAACATGCCCTTTCTTGTGAAAGAAAACACTAACTACCAGACCAAGCACTTCCTTCATTTGCAACTCCTGCTGTGGCCACCTGACATAGTCAAATTTTAGTAGCAAGGGACAGGCCTTGCTTTTCTATTTTGTGTTTATTTAAGGTAATTATTTTATGCTTTGATTCTGTTTAGCTACCTTCAGCACACGACTGAAAATAATCACTATTTCATTTAACTGGAACTGAATGAAATATAGTGTAGAAATGCAATACCTAGAAGCCTGCATACCCCATATATATGAGATTACTAATAAAATAAATTTGTAATCTAAATAGTAATCATCTATAATACATTCCAGACTGTTGTTTTTGTTGTCATAGTTCTTAACCACCATCACCAATAAGGGCACATCTGCAACAGCTGGCTTTCTCTGCATATGTTCCATGCTGGCATACTCTGAACTGTTCTTGGCACTCAGTATCCTTGTTACTGACCCAGTCAAGACTTTAAAAATATTAGTCCAATAAACCTTTCTCAAAGAACTGCAAGTCATGGCTTGATTCTGGTTAGCAAGCCAGAATTATAGTCATCACTTCAACCTCTGTTTCCTGATTTAGATGTAAGGGAATAGTGTGGTTTAACAAACCCCAGAAAGTTTTGGATTAAGGAATGTGACTAAAGGGAGGAAAGACTCCTGCCACAACACTCAGTCTTAGCCTGATAAGATGGACCATAGTGATCAGATGGAGAACATTACATCTAAACAGGGACAACATATGTCTGCTTTCAGATTTTCATGTGGGAAGGAAATATCTCACTGAGGAGAAAATCACTGCCCCCACAATATTCCTCACAACACCTACCAAGACTCTGCAATACAATGCCCCCATAAGAATACGGCCTGGAATAGCAAACTGGATTACTTCTTTGAGAATCACAACAACACCCTCATCATCTTGCCAATTTAAGCAGCAGGCCGGTGTGACCAAGCAAACCAATTTGCAGAGACTACAGATGCTGGCTAAAAGAGGTTTAAGCTTGATTCACAGTTGCAAGAGTGCAAGCCTGACCTATTAAATGGGATTGCAAATGTGTAAACAGCAGTACTGCAACTTACTGTGGCAGGGTAGCAGAAACTAGTCAGTTTCTTTGTCCTGATAATAAATCAGCTTCTACAGATAGTGGCAATATTAAATGTAAGCAGCCTTCATTCACTTGGAACACACAACTCTTAACAGGCAGCAGTAGACTCAATTCACACATGCAACCATTCTTGTGAGTGGCAACGTGAATAAAGGCTCCTATGCATGTAAAACTCATTTCTATATTGAGCACCCACTAGTGTAGATAGTTGCATTTGTGGATCAAGCTTAAACCTTTTCTTTCAGCTTGCATCAATTGTGCAGTGTCATTTTCTGACACTGCACTGCTACATCACCCATCCAAAGAACTGTATCGGAGAGATTCTTCACATTACTTTCTAGCCATTGATTTTGCTCTTTGTACATTATAATAAATTAGTGTTTCCCTTAACAGATCAATATGAAAGAAAGCATATGAACTTGTACTCATAATTCTCCATCTCTCAATTTGAAGCATCAGTACTATTTGATTTATGGAACAAAACACTAAAAATAATATGTTTGACAGGATTATCACATATATTATCTCTCTAATTATGTGATGTATAAATGCATACTACCATTTAAAAATAGGCATAACAGGAGAGGAACTATTCTTTGAAATCTATCTCCCAGATAAAGTATTTTTTAGAAGACAGCATGTTGCATTATCACTGTGGGGAAACAGGATGCAAAGCTATCATGCTTGCACAATTCATTAAACTCTCTGTACCCTAAAGAGAAACAGAACAATATTAGAACAAATTATATGAGTACTTGGCAAACTTTTTGCTGTACTTCATACATTTAGTGCTGCAAAAGCTACCTTTTTACAAATAGGACTAATTAAGTCTAAAAACCCTATTTACACTTTGCTAGAAGTAACACAGTGGGCCCAACCAATACGTATAGGATCATGCTATATATATGGTAAGTCGTTCCCTTACCTTTCCAAGTGAAGCAGGTATGAAAACAGAGAGAGAGAGAAAGAAAAGAAAAAGAGAAACCTTACATGGCAATATTCCCACGTTAGGATTCCCACCAACCCACCTGTTCTTCCTTCCCACTATATTCAATATGACATTTCTAATTTCCTTTAAAATAGAAAATACGAAGAAGCGGGGGGGGGGGGGGAGGAGAAAAGGAGATGAGGTGGAAGGATGAAAAACAGGTCACTGCCCTTAGCAACTGACCACGGCGAACAGCCATACACAGAAAAGTAAAACCCGCTTGAGCTTTTCCCTAAACATTCACCTTTGCCAGTCACCCATCGCCACACACACACACACACACACACACACACACACGCTCCCCTTTGAAAGCCCTCGAAACTGCATGGGAAATATCCCCCCCCCCCGCCACACACACACCTAAACGGGGCGGGAGGAAACCTGCCGACCCCCTTCTGAACCTCCAGCCTCTCTTTTTCCACGTCTACTCGGAAGCAAGCGGTGTCCTTAGGCTGCCCACCCTGGGTGGGCTTCCCCCCTTCCCGGCGCTTGCCATAATAAAACAACAAACCCAACTCACCCTCCAGGAAGAGGCTGTGTCTGGAGCCCCCGACGCTGCTGCGGCCCACTCCGCCCCCGACACCGCCGCCCCCGACTCCAGCACCGCCGGCCATCTTCGCTCGGCCAGCCCTTTCCTCACACCATCGCGCCCCCGGGGAGCAGCTGCTGCCTCTCGTGCCCAGGCGCCGGCGCCTCAGAGGCGCAGCCACGGCACTAGGCCTCGTTCCTCCCGCTTCGGCCTGCCTCTTCCGCCGCGGCTGAGGCCCACTCGGCGCACGCTCGGCGACTGGATGCCGGAGGGGGGAGGAGAGAAAGGGACTTCCAATGCCCCTCACCGGCCAACCGCCTATTGCAATGGCGGGCGGTTGGGGGGGGGGGAGGGAGAGAGACAGACGCCGGTAGACCAGAAGCGGCGGCGGCCCCTTTTCCTCTCTGTCTCTCTCCCGCTGCCTCCCCTTATGGTGTGTCCGGCGTCAGCGAAGCTTGCCCCCGCGAGAGAGAAAGGCGGTAGCCACGCCGGCTGCCCTTTCTTCTCCGCTGCCTGGCACCCGAAGGCGGGGGCGGCGAGAAAGAATGGACGGCAGCGACCGGGTCGAGCCGCCCCTCCCGTGTTGCTACTGCTACTGCTGCTGCTGCTGCTGCGGTCAATGCCTTCCCTCAGAGCGAAAGCCAGCCTCCCGAAGACGACATGCACCGCTCAACACACCACCTCTCTCGCTCTCTCTCTCCATTTATTTATTTATTTTCCGCTCCCTCCTTTCCAGAGGAGGAGGCCAGCCCTTAAAACACACGCACACAGAAAGAAGGTGTAGTTCGTCATTTGCAAAAGCAAAACGCAACACCTCTATCCCTCCCGCCGCTGCCCCCCCCCCCAAATGTTTAAAATGGCCGCAGCAGAGCGAGGCTGCTTGCCACTGCTGCAGCAGGGTTGCCCCCGTGGCTTTTCTCTTCTTTGCAGCTGCATGTGGGGGGAGAGAGCGAGCGAGCAGAGTATGTGGAGAAGGCGACGACATATCAGCGGAGGGAAGTCGAGGAAATAACTTTGAAATTGTTCAGGGTGGGGGATAGGGTGAGTGCCTGGTTGGGCAAGCAAGCTTTCCTCACTCCTTTCCCTTCGAAGCATTAGGGTAGAGCATTTATTTTTAAGCATTATATGCATAGGGCATTTCCTCATATACACATACATGCACAAACATTTATTTAGAAACATTTCCTTCCCCCGACCTCCAGGCCAACCCCAGTTCAATGGGCTCTGGGCTGAGTAAAGCAGCCTCATCATGAACAGGATAAAATATGGGATGTTTCCAGTGGCATAAGTATAGCAATGCAGTGTGTTTTGTTTATTAAAAAAGAAAGAAAAAGACTGTTCCATGTGCAACATCCTGCCCTCAAGATGCCTTCTGGTATAATGGATACAAGTAAATACAAAGTATCAAAATGACATTCTTGAATTTTACTGGATAGAATAGTGTCTGACTTACTCAACAGTTATTATGTGCTATAGTTGAAAGTGCGGAAACATCTGCCCAATTTTGGAGTACATAGCTCTAATTACTTCAATTAGTTTATACGAGAATTAAGGCTGCCTGATCTGCTAGTTCTGCAATACCATGATTCTATGGTCAGGGAGATTGTTTCCTCCCTGCTAGCAGAGGAGCACTTGTTGTTGCTTAGTCGTTTAGTCGTGTCCGACTCTTTGTGACCCCATGGACCAGAGCACGCCAGGCACTTCTGTCTTCCACTGCCTCCCGCAGTTTGGTCAAACTCATGCTGGTAGCTTCGCGAACACTATCCAACTATCTTGTCCTCTGTCGTCCCCTTCTCCTTGTGCCCTCCATCTTTCCCAACATCAGAGTCTTTTCCAGGGAGTCTTCTCTTCTCATGAGGTGGCCAAAGTATTGGAGCCTCAGCTTCAGGATCTGTCCTTCCAGTGAGCACTCAGGGCTGATTTCCTTAAGAATGGAGAGGTTTGATCTTCTTGCAGTCCATGGGACTCTCAAGAGTCTCCTCCAGCACCATAATTCAAAAGCAGCAATTCTTCGGCGATCAGCCTTCTTTATGGTCCAGCTTTCACTTCCATACATCACTACTGGGAAAACCATAGCTTTTACTATACGGACCTTTGTCGGCAAGGTGATGTCTCTGCTTTTTAAGATGCTGTCTATGTTTGTCATTGCTTTTCTCCCAAGAAGCAGGTGTCTTTTAATTTTGTGGCTGCTGTCACCATCTGCAGTGATCATGGAGCCCAAGAAAGTAAAATCCCTCACTGCCTCCCTTTCTTCCCCTTCTATTTGCCAGGAGGTGGTGGGACCAGTTGAGAGGGGCACTTATGCTTCACCAAAAAAGAGGATGTTGCTTGTGTAACTTTGCATATGCTAACAAAATAGCTATAATTTAAATATAGTGAAAACAGAGAGCTGAGTGCCAGCTTCAAGGCCACTGCTCTTTCTTATCCTTAATCCTGGCTTGGACTGGACAGTCATTCAAATAAGGCTTGTTTTATATATAAGGTAAAAAAGGTAAAGGACCCTGGACGGTTAAATCTAGTCAAAGGCGACTAAAGTGTACGGTCACCCTACTCTTCACCCAGAGTTTTAAAGGCCACATGTGTTTATACATCGGAAGCATATTCCTGTTTAGTCTGTTAAATTACAATCCTAAACCTAGTTACCTGGGAGTAAGCCACACTGAATTCGTATGCATTTATCAGAAGACATGTCTAGGATTGTACTGTAAGAGGCCTGTCTCTCTTCCACAGATACTGAAATATGAAAGAATAAGCCTTTCTATAAATTTGCTTTCTCTTTGGACAATCATCCCTAGTGCTACTGAAAGTTTAGGTCTTTGCAAGTTTGTCTTCAAAGGCAGCCCCACATAGAGCACAGTGCAGTAATAACCCAGGAAGTTAATGAACCAAAGATCAGTATGCCAAAGTCTAACCTGGCCAGAAAGGACAGAGCCTCTGCACAAAGAGCAGGTGGAAGAAGGTCTTCTAGTACCAACGTTCAGTTTTTGGCATCTCCAGGTAGTGTTGTGGGAAAGAAACTTGTCTGAAACCCTGGAGAGCCTCTGCCAGTCAATGTGGACAATGCACACCCAGATGGATGGACAAATGCTTCCATTCAAGTCATCTGGGTTTCATTTTGTATATCCCTTCCTTGGAGCACGCTAAAAGTAATAATAATAATAATAATGCTGCAACATAGGTATGCACACATTCACACATATTTATGCACCTCTAAAATGCAGGATGAGTAAATATTTGTTAAAGGTTAATGTTACTCCTCCAAGATTTATTCACTAATGGTATTTTTGGCACCATTCCAGTATCCAGCTGTAAGATTCTTTCCCCATGAGAACTTATCACAGAAATCCAGCTTTCCACTTACCTGTTTACCAAGTATTTCTCCAAAGTAACATTGAGTGTGGTTGGGTGCTGCAAATGCTTCTAATGCAGCCATTGATAAAGGATCCATGGCAATGAATAAATTTGACAAATTTTGCAGTGCAGTTCTCCTGCCAAGTAGTGTGTACAAGTTGAACATAAAAATGCATGTATTAGTGGCAATAACATACCAAAATGCATCATATTAGGGGAAGGTGCTTTGCAAAAATGTGTGCATTAGGATAAATTTGCAGGGAAATGTTAATGCATTTTGTTGAAGACTTTCAAAAATCACAAACTGATATGGAAATGTGAGGAACTGGACTTTAGAAACTGAGAAACTGAGAGGAACCAAAATTGACACCCACTTATTTCTAGCACGTACACCACACCTTGGTGAACCGAGACAAACAGAATGTACTTTGTTCTCTATAAATGATCTCAGGAATGTGTAAAATCATTGTACTACATTTTTGTCTTGATTAAATGCCAAATTGCAATAGCAACTACTTTGAAGCGGTGCTCAAAGTGAGAGAGAGAAAAGAATAGTTAGACCACACTCAGTTATGTCCACCTGAAAAGAAATGGGTGTTAAGGTACACCCCATCCCACCCCACTGAACAAAATCTGCCCTTTTTCCCTTATGCGGTATCCAAGAGCCCATATAGAGTCCTTAAGTGGGTTCCCTATTGGTAGGAGAAAATAACAGAGGCCAACCAGAGAATATTGAAAAACAAAGCAGCTATTAAGCCTGATCTTTATTAAACTGTTGCAACAGGGTGCTCCCCACACACACAGGAGGGAGGAGGAGAACCCAGAACAAAGGTGTGCCAGCCCTTATGTAGACTTTTCAAATTGCCCCCCCTCAAACTCCAGACCACCCCCAGAAACATCATACAAACATCGCAGAAGGGGTGAGTCAAAATGGTTTCAGGACTGTCTTCCTGTACTGTTTCAGACATGTGGTTTATGTATTTATGTACGTGTATGCCTTGTGCATTTAGTTTACATATTTGAGACCTTAAATTCTTATAACGTAGCACTGTTTTGAACAAGAAATGTTTAGGGATTATGTTTTTTTGTGTAGGTGGGGGATGGTCAGTTGATAGCCTGTGGGTTGGATCTGGCCTTGAAGGCAATGTTTACCTTACCCACGGCGGCCATACCAACTTTTAGTCAATGTGTAGTAAAAAAGAGGTTTATTACTATTTCCCTCCCAAGGAAAGTTTGTTTTCCAAGTTGTAAGGAGCAGAATGTGTGACGATATGCTTGAACACCTAATTGTGCAACACTTTCTGCAATAGCTTTAGTAGGGGGCCACTTTGTCTGGCATAATACACTTCTGACATGCATGCAGACCATTTGGAGAACAGAGTGGTCCTCAGGGGCATGAAAGTTGTCCATATGCTGCTGTTGGAGGCTAAGGATGCTTAGCCTAAACTCTACACAGAGGTGCCTCCTGACCCAACAAGAGTCAGAATATGTGTTCAAGCCATACTTCCAAGTACAGCATCTTCACCCTGCTGTGTTTCTAACTGAAATAAGCTTCTTTATTTGGAACATAGCTGACTGGCAAATTGTGCCCCAGAAGATGACAACATTGTGCCTGCTGTGCTATCAGTGGCAGAGCCTCGTCACTGCCCATCCCTGCTCATTTCCACCAAGGGTTTATTGGCAACATATAAATGCCTCCCTGAAATCCAATAACAGGGTATGTTTGGGGGTTGGGAGAGAATCTGTTAAAAAAACACCAACCAGGCAAATTATACTACCTCTGGAATAATCAAGTGGGCTGTTGTCATTTATCATGATGCTCTCATCCAGTGATACTGCTGCCTCTTCTCAGAATAATTACCTTACAATGTGAGTAATCCTCTTTTTTATGTGTGAAGGGCCAGTTATCAAAGTAGCCATGAAAGATATTTGGGGGAAGACAAAAGAGCTGGAAATTCGTACATCCTTTAGAGGTAACCCGTTTATGCACTGATTCTTTAAATTCTGGTGGTTGTTTTTAACCATTTTGCATGGTTTTAAACTTGATTGTAAGTCTCTTGGAGACCCCCTGCCCTGTGCTAGTTGACAAAGAAATAAAATTAATAAATAGTGTGTGTGTGTGTGTGAGAGAGAGAGAGAGAGAGAGAGAGAGAGAGAGACTGGCATTCAGCCTGACATATCCAGGCAGGGTTGGGAATGTCCTTTAATCTGAAACCCTGGAGAGCTGCTACCATTCAGTAGACAGTAATTAACTAGAGGGACCTATGGTCTGACTTGGCATAAGGCAACTTTCTATGTTCCTAATATGCTTTCCTTTTTTATTTTAATGGACAGGCTAGGTTTCAGCATGCATGGCCAATATTCAGGGATTGTTTACAGACACTGATAAACATCACTGAGCTTGTGAAACTTTTTAAAGCATCATTTTTCTGTGCCCACGAGCTGGCTGAATGTAGCTTCCCTGTTAAAAAGGAGATGATTGATCTGAGAAAACCTATATCCCCACCTTTCCAGTGTAAAAAATAAATGATGGTTTACGACAAATTTAAATTTTCAAAATAATTTATAACTGTTATTTTGCTCTGCTTATTTATTGGTTCTGGACTGATGAGGAATACAGTAATGAATGAAATAATATTAGAGCAGCTAGCTTAATTGAACAAAGGATATCTAGGGGCGCTATT